TCCCTGCTTTTGTGAAAAACATTGGGTTTTTTTGGGCTGAAGCTTTTTGTTTTTAGGTGCCATTGGAGCTTGATCCATTTGGGTAGCAAGATGCTCCTGGCCATACCCTGTCTCTCCACCCTATTGCCCAGTACGTTTCCGAGCACAATTCAAAGTCTTGGTGCTGACCTTTAAAGCCCTAAACAGCCTCAGTCCTGTATACCTGAAGGAGCGTCTTCACCCACATCATTCTACCAAGGGCCTTCTGGCGGTTCCCTCACTGCGAGAAGCCAAGTTACAGGGAACAAGGCAGAGGGCCTTCTCGATAGTGGCACCCACCCTGTGGAACGCCCTCCCACCAGATGTCAAAGAGAACAACAACTACCAGACTTTTAGAAGACATCTGAAGGCAGCCCTGTTTAGGGAAGCTTTTAATGTTTGATGCATTACTGTATTTTAATATTTTGTTGGAAGCTGCCCAGAGTGGCTGGGGAAGCCCAGCCAGATGGGTGGGGTATAAATTATTTTATTATTATTATGATTATTATTATTGCGTTCCTTTCGTTGGGGCACTTCCCATCCCCTGTGAGCCGAAAAAGGTCAATAGAAGACCCTCCAGATTATATACTTGCTAAGGCATTCATCCTGATTTGCTTGCACAAAGTTCCTGTGGAGGTTAGATCATATTCTATATTTTATTGAGCTTCATTCTGATTCATTTACAGGACAATTACACGGCAATGACCATTTGTCTAGCATTCATCCTGATTTCCTTGTCGGATGTTTACACAACTTCCCATTAGTCATTTGTTCTTTGTTGTTTATTATGATTTATTAAATTTGTATACATCCCTTCAGATCTCAGAGCGGTTCACAACATAAAATTACAATATAAAAAACAGAAAATGCATAATAAAAATAAGAACAAAAACAAACCAATAAGCCTCCTTCCCACAACACATTTAAAAGGACATTGGGACGTCAATAAGCCAAAGGCCTGGTTAAAGAGGAACATTTTTGCCTAAAGGTATACAGTATATTAAAGGCGCCAGGCGAACTTCCCTGGGGAGAGCATTCCACAAATGGGGAGCCACTGCAGGAAAGGCCTGTTCTTGTGTTGTCACCCACTGGACCTCACATGGAGGAGGCACACAAAGAAGGGTCTTTGAGGATGATTTCAGGGTCTGGATAGGTTCATATGGAGAGATGCGGTCCTTGAGGTATTGTAGTCCTGAGCCGTTCAATTTGTTCTTTCTACACTTCCCAATGCATTTCCCCACCACTTTCTATACCACAAAAAGGCCCTTTTAAGAAAAGTGTGTTTGTTGCACTAGGGCACCAGAGTCCATTAATTCACTTTAAGTAAGCAAATCTAAAATTCTGGTATTTTATTGAATCTGCAAGAAAGTGACAGATGTACCAAGGCTACAATCCTAAGAATACTAACTTCTGCTGTTATTCATCATTCATCAGGGCTGGAGATCCTGTGATCTTCCAGATGTTGCTGGACTGCAACTCTCATCTAGTCATGGCCGATGGGAGTTGTAGTCTAAGATATGGAGGCCACCATGTTGGCTATTCTTGATTTAAACTAAGCAATGCTAACTTTCACTTCTGCTTAAGTGAATTATCAGGAGCAAAGGGGGAAGTGGCAGTGAAAAGTACTGTTAGCTTCTAATGGCTAGTTTTTCTACTGTTGGTGACAGTAATTGTGCGGTTACAGTGAACAATTGTGAAAATCTGATTTAAACCACCAAGCTTCAGCTAGTCAAATTAACCACCAATCTATTAGGCTGTAAAAATTGAGTGACTTCAACTAACAAACAAAAAGCTATTTTAATAGAAAGGCAGAAAGATTTCATTCCTCTTCCGCATAATCTTCAGTGACTTACTTCCATTTTAATTATTTCTCTGTAGCAACCATCTGTTCCCAGCAATTGGCACATTCCATTAAGGCCAGAAAGCTTAATAAAAATCTGTAGCCACAGGAAAAACAAACTGCTTAGTGGAATAATATATTTTAGCAAGAGGAGGCAGAAGGTGTTTAATCTCCACATGTCACTGTTTTTTTGGTCAGAGTTTCCATTAAGGACAAATGCTGCTTATTTGAACTGTAATGGGTGCTTTAAAAAAAAAAACAACCCAAACAGATAAAAACAGAACTGGGCATTTAGTTGATCAGACAGTGTAGAAAAGGGTTTAGCTGTGCTTACCTAAACCTAGAATAATGGGAAGTTGAGGCAGAAGAAAAATCTCACAATTCTTTAGATAAAATCACTGAATTAGGATCAGGAAGAGGTAGAATCATAGAATCATAGAGTTGGAAGAGACCACAAGGGCCATCGAGTCCAACCCCCTGCCAAGCAGGAAACACCATCAGAGCACTCCTGACATATGGTTGTCAAGCCTCTGCTTAAAGACCTCCAAAGAAGGAGACTCCACCACACTCCTTGGCAGCAAATTCCACTGTCAAACAGCTCTTACTGTCAGGAAGTTCTTCCTAATGTTTAGGTGGAATCTTCTTTCTTGTAGTTTGGATCCATTGCTCCGTGTCCGCTTCTCTGGAGCAGCAGAAAACAGCCTTTCTCCCTCCTCTATGTGACATCCTTTTATATATTTGAACATGGCTATCATATCACCCCTTAACCTCCTCTTCTCCAGGCTAAACATGCCCAGCTCCCTTAGCCGTTCCTCATAAGGCATCATTTCCAGGCCTTTGACCATTTTGGTTGCCCTCCTCTGGACACGTTCCAGTTTGTCAGTGTCCTTCTTGAACTGTGGTGCCCAGAACTGGACACAGTACTCCAGGTGAGGTCTGACCAGAGCAGAATACAGTGGCACTATTACTTCCCTTGATCTAGATGCTATACTCCTATTGATGAGGCCCAGAATTGCATTGGCTTTTTTAGCTGCCGCGTCACACTGTTGGCTCATGTCAAGTTTGTGGTCAACCAAGACTCCTAGATCCTTTTCACATGTACTGCTCTCAAGCCAGGTGTCACCCATCTTGTATTTGTGCCTCTCATTTTTTTTGCCCAAGTGCAATACTTTACATTTCTCCCTGTTAAAATTCATCTTGTTTGTTTTGGCCCAGTTCTCTAATCTGTCAAGGTCGTTTTGAAGTGTGATCCTGTCCTCTGGGGTGTTAGCCACCCCTCCCAGTTTGGTGTCATCTGCAAATTTGATCAGGATGCCCTTGAGTCCATCATCCAAGTCGTTGATAAAGATGTTGAATAAGACCGGGCCCAAGACAGAACCCTGTGGCACCCCACTAGTCACTCTTCTCCAGGATGAAGAGGAACCATTGATGAGCACCCTTTGGGTTCGGTCAGTCAGCCAGTTACAAATCCACTGAGTGGTAGCATAGTCAAGACCGCATTTTACCAGCTTCTTTACAAGATAGTGAGGGGGTAATGTGGCAGTTTTGGTTTTTTTTTTAAAAAAAGGTAATTTTATCTCTGTGATCTTCATTCCTGTTATGTAGCTGTAAAAGACACAAAGAGGACTGCCATCTGAAGAGGGGACACTTTAACAAAAGCTATCCAAAATAAAAGAATTCCTTCCAGTAGATGCTACTGGAAGGAATTTTTTTATTTTGTTTCGACTACGGCAAACCAACACTGCTACCTGCGGGTAAACAAAAGCTATCCAAGTTCACATCACTAAATCCATCATGGCTCTATTATAACCTAGTTTCAAAGATAATTGGACTGCAGCAAAGTTGGGAAGAAATAATAATTGCTTATGACTATACTATCCTGATCTCATCTGATCTTGCAAGTAGTGCAGGATCAGGCCTGATTAGTACTTGGATGGGAGTACATGTGGTGGTTAAGAGCGGTAGTCTCGTAATCTGGGGAACCGGGTTCGTGTCTCCGCTCCTCCACGTGCAGCTGCTGGGTGACCTTGGGCCAGTCACACTTCTCTGAAGTCTCTCAGCCCCACTCACCTCACAGAGTGTTTGTTGTGGGGGAGGAAGGGAAAGGAGAATGTTAGCCGCTTTGAGACTCCTGAAGGGGAGTGAAAGGCGGGATATCAAATCCAAACTCTTCTTCTTCTTCTGGACCACTGCCTTCTTTCACTGTTATGGGCCATCCATTGTGAAGTAACCAATACTGTATTGGACTTTCTACCTGATATCCTAGTCCTCCCTGACTACAAAAATCATCTCCAAACTGGCCCCAAATTTATTGATAATTCTGCTCACAACATAAGCGCTTCAGGATTGCCAGGAGAATTATTTCATAAACTCCTCTGCAAAGTTGTGCATTTTTTTTTTTTTTAAATGGGGGAAACTGCAGCCAGTTCTTCAGGATTGCTTCCTTTTGCAATGCTTTGCTACGCTGATTGGTGTAGCATAGTATCCAGCATGGAGCTCAACCGTCTGCCCAACTGCAACTGCAAAACAGTGCTCAAAATATTAATCATGGCAGGAGAACCCAGATCATACCTGCCTACAGTGTGGCCCAAGTATGGAATTCATAGGAAAAGGAAGGAAGCAGCTGGGTAGGAGCCAGGCTGAAATGGGGTGCCGAGAGCAGAAGCAATTTTAAAAATAAAAAACAAAAGAAGAAGAAGAAACCTGCAATGAAATCTAAGACAAAAACAGAAGAAGGTTACCTGAAAACAAAAGAGGAAAAAATAAAATAATAAAAGCCTACAGCACCCGGTATTCCCAGGCGGTCTCCCATCCAAGTACTAACCAGGCCTGACCCTGCTTAGCTTCCGAGATCAGACGAGATCGGGCGTGTTCAGGGTAGTATGGCCGTAGACGATAAGACTCTCTGCTGCCGCCCTTTAAAGCAGGAACCGGGAGAAAGCGCGCCCCCTATACGTACGCGGCAAACCTTGAAACACCTCGCTTTCCACAAAATAATCATAAGCACAAGTGATGACAGCAAAGTAAATAAAATAAAAAAATAAACCCTGGACTGCGCCACAAGGAGCATGAATAAGGCTTTGTTTCTTTGAGAGCTAATAGGCAGGCATTCTTGGAGACAACCGCTCCTGCGTGACGTCATCCAGATTGCGCGTCGCCGCGAGGGCTTTCCAGGAGAGCGACGCCGTGGCCCGCAAAATGGCGTCGCCCATTCTGAGCGCTGCGCTGCATGGACTACGGAATGCTAGGCCTTTTAGTACTTCTGGTGAGTGACGGCTGTCTCCTTTCCACAGTGGAGGATGATGATGGAGGGAGGGGCGGAGGAGCGGGGGCAGGAAGCCGTTAGCCTGCTCTTTTTTTAGGGTAACTTGTCCTCCGCTACTGAAGGACTCGAGACGCTTAAGTTCTCTCTAGCCCTGATAATTTAGGAATCCGAGGGGAAATGTTTTTGGACCCCTGAGTTTTGTATCTGGTGGTTGTGTCGTGCCCTGAATGGCCAATATAATAGTCTACTCCCATGTAAACCTATATGAGCTGAGAGGATGGATAGCTGTGGAATATATTCATGTTATGAGGAAGCAGCACATTTTCTGACTTGGCAAGAAATCAATTTAGTCTTCTTTGCATCTTTGAAAATAATATGAAGAAACACAAAAAGTGGTATGCCACTCTCATTTTGCACATTCAGTAGTGAAGCTTCAAACATAGTTTACTGCCCCAAAGTCTGATTCATTCGTTTCTGCCTCATCTGCTGTTGGAACAGAAAGGTGGAAATGCAATTGGACACAAGTTTTTGTAAGTGTTTTAAGTATAAAACACGTCTGCGTATTGCCATCACTTTTGTGTCGCAGTGTTTACTAGTGTTTCTTCTCTCCCCACACCCATTACTTCTGCTTTTGTTTGAATGGGACAGGTTCAGATAAAATGTAGACCAAACCTTCTATACTTTTTTTGCTAATTTATTTTAGCTGTTCTCTGGAAAGTGGGAGTACCTCTCGGGCCAATGCCTAATGAAGATATTGATGTTAGTAAATTGGAGGTGCTAGAAAAGTACCGTGTCTTCACTCGCTACTTCAAGGAAGCAGAGAAAGCACAAAAGAAACCTCAGTGGTGGAAAACCTACAGGCGATATGTCACTCCAAAGCAAGGTACAACATTAGGGAGGACAGAAAAGTTCAGTCCAGTTTCTTCTGCTCCTCTCCTTTTTGTATGAATAGTTTATCTTCATGTGGAAAGTTCAATCCTATGTGTGCTTTTGGGGGGCAAGTGCCTGAATGCCAAGTACAGGAAGAAGAGTAAAGCAGGGCTATCACATTGTCTCTGCTGATAGACTGTCACCTTGCAGCAGCCATTCCATTTGACTATCTGAACAGTTTCAGTCCCATGTGGTCACTGTAAGTATGGTGACTTTTAAAAACCAGTGCCTGACCCTGTTGTTTGCCTCCTTCCTCTCCCTCCTTTTAGATGAGTGTGAGAGCAGAGACTGTCTTACTACTGATCTTGTGAACTGCTTTAGGAGCTTTTTTGACTGAAGAGTGGGAGTGAAAATATTATGACCTCGTCCCTGAGTAAACGAGCATAGAATTGAGAGCAAATTACATGCCTCGGGTACCTCGGGTTAAGAACTTAACTCATTCTGGAAGTCCGTTCTTAACCTGAAACTGTTCTTAACCTGAACCACCACTTTAGCTAGTGGGGCCTCCTGCTGCCGCCGTGCCGCTGCTGCACGATTTCTGTTCTCATCCTGAAGCAACATTCTTAACCCAAGGTACTATTTCTGGGTTAGCGGAGTCTGTAACCTGAAGCGTCTGTAACCCTAGGTACCACTATATTCAATTGAGTGGGAGCACAGGAGAAAGGTAACAAAAGGCAATAAAAAGTTCACCTTTTGTTGTTAAACTTTAAAGAGAAACAGAACTGCCCATACTGTTCACTAAGGAAAGCTACTGAACTGGAAACACACAGCCTTGTAGTGAGCCTGAGTAATGGTTTTCTTCATTCATTTTAAAGAGTTATACATGCACATATGTGGGTGTACTGGGGTCCTGCTGCAGATTGGAGGTGCTCAATAAGTGCCAAGTCTTAATGGGGACACTTTCTACTTACCTTGGGATATCAGGTAACTTTTAAGCTTTGCGAGTATTAAGCAACACCATAAGGCAAGGCATGAGCCACCCAATTTCCCAGTCATTTATAGTTTGTCCCTTAGCGAAACCAGAGGCAGAAAGTATGTCATGAGACTTACTTTATGTTTCTCTGTTTTTCTAAAAACTATAGATGAAGAGGCAAAGATCGACATTGGGCTACCTTATTCTCCGCCACCATGGAAAAAAACACTTAAGGAGAGAAAAGCTATAATGAAACAGAATCGAGTGGAATTGGAAAAAGCATCCCGCCTACGGAAATGTATGTCGGTCACAGCTCCCGCCTCATTTATTCCTTTTCTCTTCACTAAAGCTTTTCCACTCAGTATTTCACAGTGCTGTGTTTCTGTTTGCAGTGTTGATTCCCCTTGATGATGTAAGAGCTGAATGGGAGAGAACCTTTGGCCCATCCCACAGGCAGCGAGTGGCAGAACACTATGGACTGTACCGGGACTTGTTTGATGATGCCTTCTTTGTTCCCCAAGTTCCTTTAAGGGTGGAATACAATCAGGATGATGAATATGTTATGCCAGTTTATCATGGGAATATGGTGACACCCACAGAGGTATTGTACCAAATGTATAAGCTTTAAGGGGAAGAATATCCTGTTCTTTTTTTTTTTTAACCACAACTCATCTAGTAAACATTTTGAGAAAACAGATTCTCTTGAGTACTTTGCCAACTGCTTTGTTTTCCCCCACCCACTCAATGGCATATACCAACAGCTTCATTAGTCTAATTGTTGTGATGTTTATTTATAAGTACAGTGTTCATCAGACTTAATTTCCCGCTTAATGTAGGCAACTAATCTGGGAGTCTGTTTACACCAAGTCATTTTTTTAACTTCAGAATTTTCATGACTCATAGTGATAATTAGCATTCTTTGTGGTATTGGTCCTCTTCTGTCTGGCTCTATTGAATGTAATTTTACCTTATTCATTCTTGATTATTTAAAAAGCTATATATTATATGCCATTTTCCCCTCTTCCTTCTGGAAAAGAGGATGTTTTCCTATATCCCTTTTTGGTGAGACCCCTGAAGTCACTTCAGTGTGTAGTATCTGTGTAGCAAATCCTGTATGCCAGTAGCAAATCCTGATCTTCAGGCTATTTTTAAATATTTTTTAAAAAGTCAAAAGTCTCTTGTTCTCCGCTTTTGTCAGTTATTAGTTTGATATTAAAGCATGCCCGTTTTTATGATCTTTCTGCAAAGATAATAAGTGTAACTAGTGTGAATTGTCTAGATCTGGCTGGACTGATAGAAGCTGGCAAACAAAAGATGGGGTGAAATTTAAACTAATCATATTTGGAAGCATAGGCAAAAGTCTTGGCTACTTTGTAATCATTGCTGTATTTTTCTGTTTAGGCTTTTAACCCTCCCAGAGTCTCATTTGAAGCAGATGAAGGATCCTTATGGACTCTGCTGCTCACCAACCTAGGTGAGTAAAGGTTTCCTCGCCCTAGTAATGGCCCAGATTTTATTTTTCTGAGAGGCTACTAGTTAATGTGCAGGTTCTGCAGTAACAGCAGAAATCCTGGTTGCAAAATGTTATGAAGGAGTTGCCAGTGGTATAGTAAAAAAATTAAGGTGCTGAGTGATCTGGAGCTTTTAGAGCTTGGCCAAGCTAGGGCAAAGGAAAAGAATCATTTGTGCAGCCAGAAAGAGCATAACAAAAAGCATTACATAACTGTACATGAATAATGATGATTTAATTGAGATTATGTTTATGTTATACACACAGATGGGCACCTGCGTGATGCCGATTCAGAGTATCTCCACTGGCTGGTGTGAGTATTGGCTACTAATCCATCTTTGCACTAGCATCAGTTACCAACTTGGGTTACATTTGGAGCTGAATCTCTATATTCCACTACTGCTTTCATGCAGACTTTCCTAGTCCATGCAGCAACTGACAGTTGCATGACTGCAGAGGTCCATAGCATACCAGATTCTTTACCTTCAAAGATCCTTCTTCTCACAATGACTTTTCTACTGTGAAGTTCTACTGTGAGGTTCCTGTGACATGTCCTAGGATGCAGAAACTCTTCCTGTAGAGCCCTAATGAGACTGTGCATCCCTTCTGCAAACTGAAAGCACACATTGGAATACACCTCTGACTATGGCAGTACACTGTACGAGTAGGCTGATAGCAGGAGGCCAGCCAACATTCAACATTACTGTTTTTTTCTCATTAAGATGCCCCAGGCTTCCATGGAGCATGGTTTGAGGACCACTGAGGTGGAGCCTTGCTTTTATATATTGAGCCACTTTCCGCTCCTTTTGCTTGTACTGTGGTAGCCTTAGAGAATGTGATTTAGAATGAGGGCAAGTCTTTACCTCTTCAAATGTGTAATGACCATTTGAACTCCAAATACCATACAGACAAACTCACTCTTGACAATCATATTTTAACTCAACAGGACAAACATTCCAGGAAACAAAATGGAGATGGGCAAGGAGATTTGCCATTACTTCCCCACATTCCCTGCCAGAGGAACTGGATACCATCGCTTCGTCTTCCTTCTCTTCAAGCAGCTCCATCCCATTGATTTCACTGAAGATGAGCGGCCCGTGCCATGGTAACTCTTCCCATTTTGCACAACTATGGTGGAATCATTGGGTGCTTCCAACTTCTGGCTTCTTTTGCGAATGGAGCCACAGGCTTATTTCTGAAGGTAGAATTGTGAACTATCCAGTATTCTCTGAAACTTAAAAATTAGGTCAAATAACAGTACAGCCAGAAAGTAAGGCACAACTCAAGTTGAAAAGGGTGGGGATGGGGACACTTAAGTAAAAAAGATGTGTCCAGGAATAGATTTTAAGAGTTGAAACCCACCTATTAAGTAGTACCCACTGAAACCTCACCTATTGTAAACAATTGGGCTTGAAGTCAAGAGTAGCAATTGCTCTTGCATGAGTTTGTTACTTCTGTGTGATAGTCTGCCTTCCAAGCTATTGCTTGCCATCCAAATAAACATCACACAAATAATTTTTCTTTCTTTTCTCCCAAGAAGCAGGCGTCTTTTAATTTTGTGACTGCAGCTAATTTCCCTTTATTTTTCTGGAAAGAAAAAGAGCATGGAAAACTAATTGCTAGAGATAATGGAAGGAACAAGAAACACAGCTAGCCTTCCCTCTAACAAGAAACGGTGTAGCCATGGGTGAATTTGATGCAACTCCCTCCTTCCAGGGAATATCTCCTACATTTATATTAGAAGTTTAAACTAGTTCTGAACTGCTTTCTCACCCAAGGAATCTAAAAAAATAGGCCTTTTTCGAGGCTGGCGGTGTGGGGAATGAAAACCCCCCTAAGCCCTTAAGACTTACCATTTCAGTGGTTTCTTTGGTGGAGCAATTGCTACCTGATGGATAGAGAATATTATTTATCCTTCTATGTGTCTGTTTTACTCTACTGAAGGAAACTGGTGGTGGCTTGAACAGGGTAGTGAAGGTAGCTAGAAATAACAGCAGAAGGGTTCCATTGCATCTCTGTCCTCTCATCTTTTCAGCCACAGTCTCCAGATGAGAACGTTCAAGACGTTCGACTTCTACAAGAAGCATCAGAGTGACATGACACCTGCAGGACTGGCATTTTTCCAATGCCAGTGGGATGATTCGGTTACACGGGTCTTTCACCACCTTCTTGGTAAGTAATGGACCGTACATATAATTTAGTACTAAAAAATAAAATTAATAATAATTTTTTTTTAGTAATAAAAAATTGTGACTGGAGTACATGTCCAGTAATTATGCAAGACCAAAATATTTCTGAATGCGTGCTAAATTTAAAACTTGAGAAAATTGGGGAAGAGTGCAATAGAGCTTGATAAAAGTATACAGAATTGGGAAACTTTTTCTTCCACCCACTGAGTCCCAAGTTCCCAGCCAGAGAAGGGAGGGACTTGTTCTGAACTGCTTGGAGAGGTGATTATTTGGATAGGGACTTCAGGATCCTTGTGGAGCAATGAGGTTTTGGAAGCTGCTTACCACAAAGCCCAGTTCATACAGCAAGTATTGAGATAGCATGTTGGGAAGTACCTAGAGTACTTCATTTAAAGCTGCCTGGGACAGGGGAGCTTGCAGACCCATAACAGTTTGAAGCCAGCAAAGCATCAGTATTTGGACAGCTGGATTGGAGCTATGTGGTGGGCTGGATTTCAATTTAGCAGGAAGGGCAACTGCATTCTTGTACAGGTTTCCGCAGCAGAAAAGCTAGAAATCATTAGGGCCAGAGCACAAGGAAATCATGTTCTGTTAGTTGGCCAAAAGTCACCGTTTTCCATTGGAGATCATCGGTGTCTTTGAGCCAGAGGATGCTTCAGGTTGGTGCTTGTGGAATTTGTAGATGTTAGGATGTGCTAACTTCCAATCTGCCCCTTGCAGACATGAAGGAGCCTGTGTTTGATTTTGTGCGTCCCCCTACATATCATCCACCGCAGAAGTTGTTTCCACACCTCCAGCCTCTGAGGTACCTGGACAGATACAGGGACAGTGATGAGCCTACCTATGGCATTTATTGAAATGTCTTGATACTCTGCTTGCCAACAGGACCCTGGACTGAGTAGCCATGGTGCAACAAAGAACCCTCCCAAGCAGTTCATGTCTCTGATTGGAAAATGGAAATATAAGAGGCAGCTGGATTTGATTTGAATCATCACTTTTATTCACTTAAAAGATAGAGGTGCGGCTTGCATCTATCTTCTCTATATCTTGGAGACTCTGTCCTTGCGATGAAGAAGCAGGCAAGCTGTGTCCAGAGGTCCAGGGCTATTCAGAAGCTTGAGTTTCTGCCTCACTTTCGCAGGAGCCAGATGCCGTCCATCAAATCTTCCAATCAAAACAGTTTTCTTTCTCTCTCATCAACTGCTGGGCCATTTCAGCAAAATAGCCTCACCTGAATGGGATCAGATAATGCATGAAATATTGCAAAGCATTGAGTTGTTACTGAAACGCTGGACCTTGTTCTGTCTTTAAAGTATGAATAAACATTCTTTTAAATTCATGCTGGAAAATGCTTGTATTTGGGGAGAAGCAGATGGGAGCAGTCAGTCTCTTGGAACTATCTAATATATCAACTGCTTCAATAACTTCAAGCAGCCTTTCCAAACCTAGTGCCCTCTGGATGTTTTGAATACAACTTCCATCAGCTCCATCCAGCACAGTCATGCTGGGGCTGGAATTGCTGGAAGTTACAGTCCAAAACATCAGGAGGCCATCAGTTGGAGGAGGTTATTTCTAAGGTCAAGCAGGCATCATACCTTTTATGTTTCTGAAGGGCATCAGTGTTGTGATACCTTAAGGGATGAAACCTTTGGTTGGTGGCATGAACCTTTTCATAAGCAATGCCTGCTTTGTGCAATGCATGAAACAGGCTGTGGAACTGATATATGTTCATATGGTTTAAATGATTTGGCGGAATTAAACCAAATGAAATAAATACCAAGACGTGTGTGTTCCTTGCTTTGCCATTAAAATTATTTCTCACACCCCCCCCTTCATTTGGATTCCTTGAGACATACTGGTAAATCGGTTTGAAGAGCCTATTTTGCATAGGTGATTTCTTTACCTTCTGGGAAACACAGGATCGTCTCATTTCCTCATTTTTCTTTCCATATACAACATGAACCTTTTTATTCCTGCATGGATGACTGCTTACCTTTGTGTATGTTTGCAAGTCTGATAAGAAGGTTTGGATTAACCAGTGTGTGCTTATGTTCCTTATTTCAAAATATTGTTCTGCAGAACAGTTCCATAGCATTTCGATAGCAAGCCCACAGTTGAAGAGTGCCCTATCTTTTAAAAAACATTTACTACACAAGTTATTCATCTGCAGGTTATAACACTGAAGAAGAGAAATACGGGGCTGCATGCTTGTTTTTAAAGAAGAGAATTTGGAAATCTGGGAAAGCAGAGTTTAGAGAGATCGTAAACAGCTGAGTCCCCTATTTTATTTAGTGATATTTAACACTCATAAACTTATATTGAGATGGGGTGGACAATGTGGTAGATAGGTCTATAGGCAAAATAAAATTATTTAGGGTGAAAAAAATCACTGTGTCTTGTGAAGAATGGGAAATAAATTACTCTCTCCATATGGCTTTTGGCAACAGCCTAGCTAAGAAATTCAGTGTAAGTATGTGTGGAAAAAAGCAAGCTTTGGATCATAATGGAAAACTTACTGAAAGTGTCAGCGCTCAAGAGCCTCTGCCAGGAAATTCAGTTGCAGGAATCAGGGTGGGGTTGGGATAAAACAAGTACTGCATCATATATACAGTCCTGCATTTTGGCATAAAGTCTGGCTATTTTCCTACCTAAAAAGTAATATTATCAAGAATATAAGAACATAGCCATTGAGGCTAGGAGCCACTGATAGCCTTATCCTCCTGGGCAACTTGTAGAGCAGGGATGCAGAACTACCACTGTATGACAATCATTCTTCCTGGGACTGATGGAGTCCCAACACCTAGAGGGCCAAAGGTTTGCCATCTCTACTACAAAGCTGGGCATCGTGTAGAAAAGGGCAACTAAAACTAGCTGCAGAGGGAAATTCACAGGTGGAAGATTTGAGACTGTGCTTTTGTAATTTAGAAAATCACTATGGGGGGAACTTGCTAGAGGTTTCTAAAATCATGACCACTGTTGAGAAAGTAAAGAGGAATAAAGCTCATTACTAGAATACAAGAGGATCATCCAACAATGTATTGGCAGTAGCGTGTTTGTGCAGTGTATTATTGTAGAACTCATTGCTCCAAGGTTTTGTGATGGATACTGGTCTATATAGCTTTTATAAGTCTTCATGGACTTATTCATGGAGGATAGATCTACCAGTAGTGCTACAATTAAAAATCAAATGTCCATATATCAAAGGATAACTGTTGCCATCATACCCTGTGAGCTTTTCAGCAGCATCTATCTGCCTGGCCACTCTTGAATAGATCTTTCAAGACAACTATTCTGTGTTGGACGAGTGTATGCTGGAGTATTTCATAGCAATTTTTATTAAAAAGAAATATTGTTTTAGCACAAGTTTCATAGAGACTTCACAATAAAGAGGGACAACAATAAAACATAATAAATCAGGAAAGGGGAATACCAGGACATAACAACAGCAACAACAAAAAATTCATAGCAAATGTGAAACCTAACAGCCATTCTGGTTTCCTGGAGTGCACTACCTAATAGAGGCTAATCAATTTCTTTGCTAAGATAGCATGGAATAACAGTGCAAAAAAGTTTTAAAAACCCATCACAAAAAGCACATCAATTAAAAACATGTATCTAGAGCTTTTCCTAAAAAATGCCTACAAGGGGGGGAAAAACCAGACACAGGCAAGGATAAGTCTAGACAAAAACCTCTCTCTCTGTTGGCAGTGGGGTGAAGCTGTGGGATGTGGGGCTCAGAGAGTGACAGTGTTTCAAATATATTTTAAAACTTTTTTGTGTTTGAAATAAACTTTAATCTTCGTTGTTAACTACCTAAGATTCAGTACTTCACTGGGGATCCCTGGGATTTTCCCCACAAAATTGGTGGCAGCAGAAGAATAAAGTAGTGGGGTACAGATCAATAGTCTGTGAAACGACCACCAAACCCACCCATCTGGCTGGGTTTCCCCAGCCACTCGGGCCGGCTCCTAACAGAATACTAAAAACACGATCAAACATTAAAAACTTGCCTAAATGGGGCACAGATCTTGCTGCACCTTCAACTGAGCCTGCAAAGAAACTGGAAGCCCGTCATCAGATCTCCTGTCTCAGGGCTGGATTTGGGTTTGATGAGGCCCTAAGCTACTGAAGGCAATGGGGCCCTTTATATGTCCAGCTGTCCTTTGTCAACAACAAATTGTCGCTGTTTTTGTGTTGAATATATGCTATATGGTAATTTATGGACTTAATAGGTATCTAAAGCCCTTTGCACATAACAAAATATAGTGGTACCTCAGGTTAAGAACTTAATTCGTTCTGGAGGGCCTTTCTTAACCTGAAACTGTTCTTAACCTGAGGTACCACTTTAGCTAATGGGGTCTCCCGCTGCCGCCGTGCGATTTCTGTTCTCATCCTGAAGCAAAGTTCTTAACCTGAGGTACTATTTCTGGGTTAGTGGAGTCTGTAACCTGAAGCGTCTGTAACCTGAAGCGTCTGTAACCCGAGGTTCCACTGTATGTATTTTATCAAGGTACATCCACTTTTTTTCTTTTTAAAAAAAATTGGGGGCCCCAAGAGAGTGGGGCCCTAAGCTATAGCTTGTTTAGTTTATATGTCTATCCAGCACTGTCCTGTCAGAGGAGCGGGTGGTATTTGAAAAGGTTGCCTTTCACACGGGGACAAGGGAGCCAGAAACTCAAAACTCTTTTCTTGCATGGAAAGGAGATGCCAATCATCTTTGCTCTCCCTGCCTCTTTAAGAGCCTGCGGGCTGATGCGCCTTAATTTGGCCCAGCCCTTCCTTCTCCTGAGCCATCTCCAGCAGCCTCAGCCTTTTTTGGGCGGCCCTGGGTTTCATTTTCTTTTCCTCTGGGCTTTTTAAGTGGCGCTTCTGCCGCGCGCCATGGCTTCTCCAGACTCGCAGAGGCTGGAGGAGAAGCTGACGTGCTGCATTTGCCTGGATACGTTTAGCACCCCGGTGACGGTGCCCTGCGGGCACAGCTTCTGCGAGAAGTGCATCTGCGACCACTGGGACGGAGAGGAGGGCAAAGGGCCCGCCGCCGCGGGCTACACTTGCCCCTCGTGCCGCAAGAGCTTCCCGGAGAGGCCGGAGCTCAGCAAGACCGTCCTGCTCGACAGTCTGGTGGAGCTGCTCCACAAGCAGGAAGATGGCGGGCCGGCTTCCCGGACGGAGCAGGCGGCCGCTGCTCGGGAAAAGAAGTGCCCCAGGCACGGCCGGCCCTTGGAGCTGTACTGCCAGACGGAGAAGCGGGGCATCTGCTGCGTGTGCACGCTCAAGGAGTGCCAGCAGCACGGCAGGGCCCTCGTCGAGGACGAGCGGAAAGCCAAAGAAGTAAGCAGGGAGCGGGGCAGAAGCATTTCCGGAGCCGGCCACTTGGGGCCATGGCAACATAACATATACAGTGGTACCTCGGGTTAAGTACTTACCGGTAATTCGTTCCAGAGGTCCGTTCTTAACCTGAAACTGTTCTTAACCTGAAGCACCACTTTAGCTAATGGGGCCTCCCACTTCTGCAGCGCCGCCGGAGCACAATTTCCGTTCTCATCCTGAAGCAAAGTTCTTAACACGAGGTACTATTTCTGGGTTAGCGGAGTCTGTAACCTGAAGCGTATGTAACCTGAGGTACCACTGTATGTACACAGTACAAACTCCTGTGATCTTGGGCATCTCTCTTTTTTTATATGCAGTGGTACCTCGGGTTACATACGCTTCAGGTTACAGACTCCACTAACCCAGAAATAGTGAAAACAAAAAAAATTCCTTCCAGTAGCACCTTAAAGACCAACTAAGTTAGTTCTTGGTATGAGCTTTCGTGTGCATGCACACTTCTTCAGATACCAGAAATAGTGCTTCAGGTTAAGAACTTTGCTTCAGGATGAGAACAGAAATCGTGCTCCAGTGGCGGGGCGGCAGCAGGCGGCCACATTAGCGAAAGTGGTGCTTCAGGTTAAGAACAGTTTCAGGTTAAGAATGGACCTCCAGAACGAATTAAGTACTTAACCCGAGGTACCACTGTACTATATATACATTTTATTAGTTTTTTTAACATATCATTTTCAACAGTAATTAAACATACTTTTACATCTTATTCAAATTTTTGACTTTCGTCAATCCCATCTGAAAATTTTCCAATCTAATCTCTCAGTATGCATTTCTTATCTTCCCTATTACATTTCAAACTCATAACCAATATCTCTATCTTTTCCTACTTTGTAACACTTTGTATATTTCTCCTTACAAAACTTCTTGTAGTCCTACTAGCGTAATTTGTTGATTACAGTTGCTCTTCAAATGATTCATATACTTCTTCCAATCTTCTGTAAATCTCTGGTCCCACAGGTTTCGAATCCTTCCTGTCATTTTGTCCAATTCTGCATAGTCCATTAATTTCGTCTGCCAATCTTGGGCATCTCTCACTCTGCACGGGACCAGGCTGTTGATGGACGGGTGTCATGCTGGCCAAAGGAGCCTTCGGGCATCCCATTTTAAAATTAAGCATTCCCTCTGGTGCATTAGTTACTTGGGATTGTGGGACATGTCCCTGCACATTGTAGTTGTCGTGGTGCGCACTTTACTCTTAAAGGATTTATGTTGTTGGGGGCAGAACACTCACCTGTCATCATCCTCTGTCTCAGATTTGGAATGAAATGTCTCAACAACAGTTGTTTTAAATAATGATGATGATGATTAATTAATAATAATTTATTATTTATACACCGCCCATATGTCCGAGTCTACTCAGCCACTCTGGGCGCTCCCAACAGAATATTAAAAACATGATAAAGCATCAAACATTAAAAACTTCCCTAAACAGGGCTGCCTTCAGAAATTACTTTCTTTTGAAAAAACAGTCAAAATCCTTCTACAATTTCTACTTTTAGTTAAGTATTTTTATTGATTTACTCGATTTAACTGCCTCCCACCCCCGGCTATGCCCACTGGTGACGCAGAGACAGCCTAGGTTGTGTATATTGCTTTAATCTCAGCTTTGCTGCAGTGGATAAATTTTCACTTGCTGAATGTCTGCCTGATTGACTCATGATTCTTCTCAGATACCAAATGCTTTATAATAATGGGTTTGATGCAGTAAGGCCTTTATCTCCACTGTAGCCTAAGATTTAATTCATTCCATATGAGGGATGGCCGGGCATTAACTCTTGGTGCTGCCACCAAGCTACATTTCCTCAACTTCTGTAGGAGAAGCCATGAAAGTTATAAAGAAGGCATCACTTGCCGTACAGTGCCGTTCGTGTTAAGAACTTAATTCGTTCTGGAAGTCTGTTCTTAACCTGAAATTGTTCTTAACCTGAGACACCACTTTAGCTAATGGGGCCTCCTGCTGCTGCCGCACCGCTGCTGCACGATTTCTGTTCTCATCCTGAAGCAAAGTTCTTAACCCAAGGTACTATTTCTGGGTTAGCGGAGTCTGTAACCTGAAGTGTCTGTAACCTGAAGTGTCTGTAACCCAAGGTACCACTGTATACGGTAGATATGAAACATTTTAAGGCTAGCTAGGGACTTTGCTGTAACAATACCAAGCAAGAATCCTTTGCTTGAATATACACTGGAAGACATTGGTAGACCCAAATCATAGCCTATGGGCTTTCATGTGGTGAGGCAGTTCAGCACTGCTCAATCCAAACCTAACGGTTTGGATTAGTCTGGACATCATGGCCCTTTCTTACATCCTCAGTGAATTACCACTTCCTATAACTTGGCTACCTTGATGCCTACACTGATTACCTTCAGTCTAATAGGGTGTTATATTAACAGAACTCTGGAGTCTTTCCAAAGGGATGAATGAATCTTGGAAGATTAATTTTATAATGAATGATTTTAGAGTGTTGTTTATGCTGTACTTTTGTACTGTTTTATTGTTGTTAGCCGCCCTGAGCCCGGCTTCGGCTGGGGAGGGCGGGATATAAATAAAATTTATTATTATTATTATTATTATTATTATTATTATTATTATTATTATCATCTGGGGAAATCTGCCGCCCCGCTTGGGAAGGTGAGATGCAGGGGCCGGGTGTGGCTAGGTGAGATTGAAGTGCTTGCCTGTTAAATTATTTTGAACTCTTTGGCAGGAGTCCGTAAGAGCAACCCTGGAGAAAACTCGAAAGGAGGCAGAGCCTATCAGAGAAGCAATTCAAAAACTGGAGCAGCGGATAGACAACATCAAGGTAAGGAATCCACAGAGAGCATCATAATGACAAAAGTGCCTCCCATGGGAAGTGCTTGCTCTCCATTGACCCCATTTGGTACCCATCATGGCTAAAACTACAGTTACTGAATGAGCAAGTGGGCCTTCTGCATTTGTGTCCCTTTCCTAACAGCTCAGACCTGTAGTGAATTCTTTGCCAACCTGGTGCCCTCCAGATGTTCTGGATTACAACTCCCATCAGCCCCTGCTAGCCAGTCAAGGATCACAGTCTCTCTTTTTGCCTGCCTCCCAAAATTTTATTTTCTTATTTCCATTAAGAGGGACACCTAGTACCCAACAGAATGCAGAGCAGCAAGGGAAATAGAGGCAGCTACAGTGGAAACAACTGTATTTTGTTGCCCTTCCTTTTTCATCCAGGGTTCCTCGGAGAAGTTAAAATCTGGAGTTGTGCAGAAGTTCGCTTCTCTTGTGGAAGCCTTGAAGGAATGCCAGAGGAAGACAGTGGAGAAGATTGAAAGAGAGCAAGATGCTGCGCTTAGCAAAATGCAGGAGAACTTGGACCAGCTGAAGCGCCAACTGGATGGGCTTACCCAGCGCAATGAGAAGGCAGAAGAGCTGCTCGCTTGTACTGATGATATGACGTTTCTGGAGGTATGTAATGTGTATACTGATGGCATTTGGGCCAGATCTTTATATCCCCACTCCCAGGGGACAGCTTTAATAGGTGGGTGGTCCTGTCAACTTGTTAAAGTTGGTTCATGGATGAGAGATAGTGACCATGAAGGACTGAACTCCAAGTAATTCAATCCTGCTTTCTGAAGGGATCGGCTGTGCCAGTGATTTCTTACACAGCCAAAACAAGCAGGATTGAACTCCCTGCCCTTCAATCTCTATGTGCCCCACACCTGTGGTTTGGGGAAATGTCCTGGAAGGCGAAACGGGGAGAACCGGTGGGCCAAATGTGGCCAGCAAGCCAGAGGCTCCCCACCCCTAAAATAAACCATAGCTTAGTACAGTGGTACCTCGCAAGACGAATGCCTCGCAAGACGGAAAACTCGCAAGAAGAAAGAGTTTTCCGTTTTTCGAGGTGCTTCGCCAGACGAATTTCCCTATGGGCTTGCTTCAAATTTCAAATTCGAATTTCCCTATGGGCATTGCTTTAAAATGCTGGCGGGCGGCAGCAAAGCCCTCCTGTCCCTGGAGCTTGCGGAGCAGGAGGTGGGGAGAAGGGCTTTTCTTCCCACCGCCAGCCTTCAGAACAGCCTTCTGAAGGCTGGCGGTGGGAAGAAAAGCCCTTTCCCCTCCCCCCCAGCCTTCAGAAGAGGTCGGGGGACAGACTGTCCCCGGACCTGGTCTGAAGCCGGTTTCCATAGGAACGCATTGATTGATTTTCAATGCATTCCTATGGGAAACCGTGCTTTGCAAGACAAAAAACTCGCAAGAAGAAAAAACTCGCGGAATGAATTAATTTCGTCTTGCGAGGTACCACGGTATTACAGAGTGGGAGTTGCTGCCTGTTCTGCTTCTCATTCCTGGCAGCTGACAAGCTCTTAACTGGAAGGTATCTTGAATATCATAACTAAGCCTCTGAACCTTGGCAACCATTGGCATGCAGGAGTTCTGTGTTTATTTAATTCTTAACAGTGATATGCTTTGAATGCAAAGATAGTCCCAAACCCTCAGAAGTTCTTGAAGTGTGGAAGTCCTGTCATACACCAGTGAGGCTACAAATTCTTATCCTTAAAAGTTTTCTGTGAAGTGGGGATTCCCCCCCCCCCAGCATTGCACTGCATTGTAAGCTAAGAGAGCAGTGGTGTGTTTCACGTCCTGTGTACAGCATGCAACTGAGATTAGACCTTTCTGCGGGACTCTTCATAATTATAAGCGCTTCTCTAGCCTTCTCAGCTAGGAGATAGAGGAGAAAAAGGATTAGCTAGGCCTAATGGTCAGCAAGATGAGACAATTGAAAAACAATTTGGCTGCCAACTCCAAAGCAGAGTTTAGAATGTGAATCACCCACCATGCCAGAGGGGGGAATGTCTGAAGTTGAACTGTCTGGGGGGGGGGGGAATTCCATTGATGGAGCCCTCTGTCTTCAGAGAGACAGGCAATTCATGCCGTGAGAGGGGGTTATTGTAGCAAAATGGCTTTACCCAGTTGGTTACTCACAGCAACATTTTGTAGCCAGCAACAGCAGGGAATTGTGTGGTTTTCTCATCAGAAGGCTGCTGTGCCATTGTCCTCCTTTCTGTACTGAATTTTTTTTACGAGCTGAACAGTCTCAGATTGGCAAGAATGCCCTGGCACACCACTGCCTTCAAATATATAATGAATACACTTGCTTTTACAGTGGTACCTCATGTTAAGAACTTAATCCGTTCTGGAGATCTGTTCTTAACCTGAAACTGTTCTTAACCTGAAGCACCACTTTAGCTAATGGGGCCTCCTGCTGCTGCTGCAGCACAATTTCTTTTCTCATCTTGAAGCAAAGTTCTTAACCCGAGGTAATATTTCTGGGTTAGCGGAGTCTGTAACCTGAAGCGTATGTAACCTGAGGTACCACTGTACACACACACACACACACACACACATATACACACACACAACGTAGTAAGGGAACAGAAGCGGCCAAGTGCCGTCCACACACACACACAGCTGCCGCACCCGCTTACCTCTCGCTGTTATTGACAATGACGCTGCCCCCCTCAGAATGGTTCCTGTTCAGGGATTGATGGAAGTCAAAAATTTGAATACAGTGGTACCTCCGGTTAAGTACTTAATTCGTTCCGGAGGTCCGTACTTAACCTGAAACTGTTCTTAACCTGAAGCACCACTTTAGCTAATGGGGCCTCCTGCTGCCGCGCCGCCGGAGCACGATTTCTGTTGTTATCCTGAAGCAAAGTTCTTAACCCAAGGTACTATTTCTGGGTTAGCGGAGTCTGTAACCTGAAGCGTGTGTAACCCGAGGTACGACTGTAGTTTGCTTTTATTTTAAACTCGTTTTTCAACATAGTGCTCACAGTGGCGTCACAAAAGGGACCCACCAGCATGCTCTTGGCACATTTGGATTTCTGAGCAAGTGCTATGGGGACCACTAAGGCAGGCAATGGAGGGGAAGAAGTGGGGAGGGGAGCGTGTGTCCTGCTTTATAGCTACCTCTGCTTGAAGGGCTGGCTGGTCCAAGTCCAGTTAAGAGATAATGAACCACAATGGAGAGGCAGGGGCTTGGAAGTTGTATCTGGGCAGCAAACTGATCAGGGACACAGGCCACGCTATTAAGGTCTTCCCAATTTATTTTTATTTCAATGAATTGCAATTTTGTCCAAATGTGCATATATTAACATATTTTATGCAAATTTGTGTTCGTTTGTTCCCTTCTTTGGCGATGCATTTCCTCCTGCTTGGCAATATGTAAGTGGCCACCTAAAGAATTTCAGGATCGATCCAGTTCACTTACATAAGCTGAAGTTAAACTCCATTCATGTAAGTCAACAGTCAAACTTTGTGATTCCTACATTTCCTGTTCCTTGTAGGAACTGCATCATCTTCCTCCTCTTGGCAACTTAGAAGTTATTCCGCCTGTTGAGTTTGATTTGGCCAGCAATGTGGATGCTGTCACTGAACTCTTCAATGAGGTTTCCAGGCTTTTGCAAGAGGCTCAGTCAAATTCCTTGAGTCCACCAATGACTGAAACAAAAGGTAATCATTCAGCTGTTTTAGGGAGTGGTGAAAAATTAAAGATCACCTGTGGAAAGTCGGTTGGTCAGTTTTCTTTCTAATAAAGGCGGCTGGAGGTTTAAGTGCTACAGTAAAGTGGGGGGGGAGTATTTATTTTGATAGATTTCCATATTGAAGAGGAATAGTAGGGCAATGACAGTGCTTAGTTTTCTGAAAGAAAGATTAGATTTGTACTGCCAGAATTACCCCAATTTTCTGTGTAGTCCTCCACAAAACTTTGACCTCCTCAGAGAGACTTTTTAAATCTTATAAAGTCCTTTGTTCCCAAATGTTTTCCTAGGAAAGTAGGATCCAGTTCAGATGTAATCATGACAAACCACAGTTTGTCATTACAAGGACAAGCTACAGCAAGCCTGAGGCTCATTCGCTTCCTCCTCCATTTCCCAGCCTTCTCTGACCATAAGAGGAGGAGATTAGATGTGTCTGCTTCTAGTTGTAAAAAGCGCAGGAAATTGTGGTTTTGTTCTCAAATCAGGATTCAAAGCCATTCTTTGATTCTGTCTTCAGATCCTGGTTTGAGAACAAGCTGCAGTTGCACAAACCACAGTTTCCCACATTTGGATGAAAAGGCAAACTGAAGCTTGTTGCAAACTGAAATTCTGAACTGGGCCAGAACATGTGGCCTTTATCTGGATTTCACCTACTCATTTCAGCTCCTGACCTGGAGGCAACCCTTTATAATGGGCCTGGGCAAGGTGAGCAGCATGATACCAAGGAGGGCGGGGAGCGGAAGGGGGTGGCAGTGAGAGCACCTCATTCCATCATTGGTTTGGACCCACCATTGGCTCCAGCCCTGCCCACCAGTGGCATGCAGCCCCCCAACAGATTGCCCCCAAAGGAATCTTGCCCTCAAAGGAGAAAACCCTTCCTTTTGCACCTACATGACACCAAACAACGCATACACAGCAGTCCACAAGTGTGGTCTTTTGTGATGCATTAGGATGAGAATTGTAAAGCTTGCTGCACACAGAAAAGTGATTTTAGAAACTTTAATAATTTGATCATACATCAGAGAGTATTTATGCTTTGTCTTGTTTCAGACCATGAGAGATTATGCCTTGGGAGCACCTAAGTGTCTGGTTTATTATGAAGAAAAATATAACACTGTGGGATGCCTTTAAGTACACTGCTGCTTCTTCTCCTTTTTAAAGAGAAATATATTAAAATATATCCAAAGGCCAGCTTTGAACCTTGCTGCCTGTGTATCTTGTCCTCACCCCTCCCGAAAAGGCTCCCCCAACTCACTGCCGAGTCTTGACTTGTCTACCATTTTGAAATCGTTGTTTTTAAGGCAAATGAGTTTCCTTCCTGCTTTTAAGTTTTCCTTGCTTATCTCTCACTCGGCAGTCTCACCGGAGCCAAAGGTAATTGTGAGAAGGGCCGGACCGTGCCTTCCAGACAATGAGTTAAGAATGTCTTTTTTAAAAGGTAAGCGACTTTCTGGGCTGCACGCAGTTACTTAAAAAAGGGAAGTAGGGTCACAAGTGCATAAATATATTCAGAGCTGCTTCCTTTGGGTCCTCTGTCAGGATCATAGATTTATTTCTTTGTGTGTGTGTGTTCTGTTGGTTATAATAATATTCCTGGTGGTGGTTGACCTGAGGCGGGTGAGGAATTCTCGCATAAACAAGTCTATTCATATGAACAGCATAGCATGGAAGTTGCAAAGTCACACAAGAATGTAGCTCCTCTTCCCTTCCACTTATGGGGTGGAATTCAAACTAGCGCTGAGGAGATCACTTGTCAGTGCAAGCATTTTTGCTTGCCTGTTGGAATGATCTCTCCTCTCCTGCGCACTGTTGTGGGGGTTCTCCTACCCTTACCCCAAGCTGATTGAGGAGGGCACACTGCGCTAGTGGGGCTCATTGTGCTGGCTCCCACTACAGCACCTATACTGTTTAAGGCAGTCCGTGATTTTTGTTTTTCATGCAAAGGAGTCAACATTGCAAGAGTTTGCTGCTCCCACATTACACTGCTCATGCAAGTAAGCAATTTCCCACATCAGTAGTCCTTTAAAAAAGGAAGAAGCATAAATGTGCCTTCAGATCCAGGAGTTCAAAAAGCTTCGCAAAACTGTGGAGCCATATTGGAGGCAGCCGATGCAGACCTATAAGTTCTGCATTTTATTCTCACTGTCTCCCACACACCTGTGGAGGAGTCAGCGACCAAGTTGCCCAACTCTGCTTTTGGGGACATCTGGGTGAGTTCCCTGTTAAGATCTCTAGGATCCTCCTTGTTCAAGAGAAGCTTCTTGCGCTTAGATTAGCAGGAAACCAGGAAGCTATGGAGCAGATGTTCACTTAAATCACAAAGAACACAATTTATCTGTTAAACTAATAAATGGAACAGCTCCTGTTTTCTGACATGGGTGGAACATGGATCAAAGAGAAAGCACTTAGGACTGGTAACTACCGCAAACAGTTAGTAATTCCTTTCAGAAATCTGTGGACCAGAGCCAATGGACAAGGCACAATCTTTTGTATATACTTGCACATAATGCCTGTGTACTTTCCTTGCCCAGGCTTCTGGTTTGCATCCCTGAGGGAAATAATTATTCCATTAACCTTATTTAGGCAGAAGGCTGATCAAAGGGAATGTTGCGTTGCTGACAACAACTGACACCCCTCACAGGCACCCTGGCACTGAGCAGGGATTTCTCATAGGCCATTGTGAGCAAAAAGTGATGTTTAAATAAAGCAGAGCCTGCCGATCCTAGAGATCTTGATCCAAAGGAAATGGAAGGCCCCTACTTCCCTTGGCTTTTATTTGACGCCTCTAAAGCCAACTTCCACTCTCCCTCAAATGCGCACTGATACTTTCTCCTTGCTGCTTTGGTTAAATGCCCTGCAATACTAAAAAGTTGGTATTTTGTTCTTAGAACAGAGTTGACAATAGGTTAGCTCTGTTAGGAGAGAACAACAGAAGAAATTGCCAAAATGCCACTTCAGCAAAGCCGTGGCATGTCTGATATTAGGGATTGGGGACCTTTTTCTCTAACTGAAGAGGAATTAGCCAGTTAAAAATACACTTGGGTGTTTTTTCTCCCACCTGACTTTGATACCTTTGTCTCTCCTGCAGATCAGCAGAATTTGACCTTTGATCCAACCACAGCTAACCAATACATGCAGTTGTCGGATGAGAACCGGAAGTGCCATCACTCTCAACGTATTCCAGGGTCGAGGCCAAAAGACCCACAGAGGTTTGAGCCATGGCAAGTCATGTGTGCCCAGAACTTCAGCCAGGGCAGCTGCTACTGGGAAGTCAAGTTATCTGGCCACTCTGTCATCATTGGCGTGGCTTATGGAAGGTTCCCAAGGAAGAAGCGGGCTGGCCGCACATTCACCATTGGGCTGGATAAACTCTCCTGGGGCCTGCATGTCCAGGAAGACTGCTATATGGCCTGGCACAACGCCGAGTGCATTAAGATAAAAAAGCACGTGTGCAAATTCATTGGGGTGTGGTTGGATTGCAACCAAGGAGTGCTATCCTTTTATGGCGTGGATGACAACATGACACTCCTCCACACTTTCAACACGATCTTCACAGAGCCCCTTTTCCCAATCTTCTGGCTTTGCGAAGGCATAGCTGTGACCCTCTGCCAAAAGCCACAGGGCAAAGTTCGAACTGATGGGGTGCCTCCTGTCTTGCAAGCAGCTGCTGCTGCTGCTGCTGCTGCTGCTGCTGCTGCTGCTGCTGCTGCCACCACAGTGGACGAACTGCCAGATGATGAGATAGCTCTGAAACAAGGAGAGCAACTCTCCTGAGATCTCAAGGTACTTTGTACTCATCTTCCCCAGGGAGATGCAAGTCCCCATTTCTCATCTCAAGGTGGGACAAGTGTGCAAGAGGGATTAAAATTTGGGGAAGATGATTAGGGCACTGAACTCTGGCTGTCCTGGCCACTCATTGCTTAGTGTGCTGTGCATCCTGGTGAAGAATACAGCTTTCTGACAATCTCATCTCATTAAAAGCTAAGCAGGAAATGAAGAGGAGCAGGAAAAGAGAGTAAGCAAAGTTTGTAATATTTCAGCCTACTTACGCAATTATTAGGGGGCGGGGGGAAGACGAGGTGGACAGAACTAAATTGTTATGTTTTTTTTAAGTAATTTTTAAAATTTAAATGGCACAGTAGGGACTGATAACTTCTCCTTGGCACATATTAATTTTCAGAGCTGGCTTGCCTTGAAACATTAAATTCTCCACTATGTATGTACTGCACATGTGTAGCTTTCCATACAGGGAAACTGAGCTCTTTGGTTCAGAGAGGTTGCACTATTTTATGGTGTGAGTTTAAATTATGATGGAAGGAGTTCTATTTTACTTCTTTGTGCAGGCTCAACATGTCGTAACTGCTCATGTGTTTGTTGCCACTTTCTCATCAGCAGATTATGGTGGGAATGAAAACTTGCCAAGTTGGTTCCTGTTTTATTGTTCAGCTTTTAAAAAAAGTTTTATTGAGAAATAAAGCTTTCTAAGCAAAAAGGAAAAAATAAGCTTAATAAATAAATTTCTTCTTTTATTAGAATTCCCTGTTCTAGCTGTGAGCTAGAAAATTGTCATAGCCCCAGGGAAGAGTACCCAAGAACCGATCTGGTTCTTAGTAGGGTGACCTTAAGCTCACAATTGCCAGGGACTGGGTATCCTACACTACTGAACCTCTTCGTCTTGCTGATCAAAAGGTTGGTGGTTCAAATCCCTGCGATGGGGTGAGCTCCCATTCTTCTGTCCCAGCTCTTGCCAACCTAGCAGTTCGAAAGCATGCCAGTGCAAGTGGATAAATAGGTACCACTGCGGCGGGAAGGTAAACGGCGTTTCCATGTGCTCTGGTTCCGTCATGGTGTCCCATTGCACCAGAAGCGGTTTAGTCATGCTGGCCACATGACCCGGAAAACTGTCTGTGGACAAACGCCGGCTCCCTTGCCCTGAATCGAGATGAGCGCCGCAACGCCATAATCGCCTTTGACTGGACTTAAATGTCCAGGGATCCTTTACCTTACACTTTCAGTGACCCCTATTTTTTATTTTGTTTTGTGTACCGATTAATTCCCAAAAGTACAAGAGCTTTTCTCATTGTTCCACAGCTTGGAAAAAAGTACGATCTTGCTTGCTGAATTGAAAGTTGGTTAAACAAAATCTTTTCGGATTTCCTGTGCATCTGATAAAATTTGATTTGGTGGATAAAATCAGAGGTATATGACTACTGGGCTTCAAAGTTCAAAGTGACCGATAGCCATTGATAGACCTATCATCCCTGAATTTGTGTTTTCCAAACTGTTACTGGCCATCACCATTCGTTCTCTGAAATAAGGACGGAAGAACAGCCTGCTGGGTCAGGCTAATGGCTCATCTGGTCCAACAACCTGTTCCCACAGTGGCCAATCAGAAGCCTGAGGCAAGAACACAAGCAGGACTTGAGTGCAACAATGCCCACCTGTGATTCCCAGAAACTGGTATTTGGAAGTATGCTGCCTCTGACAGCAGATGTGGAACACAGTGCTTCCCTTTCATTAGTTGCCCTCAATTTCTAATATCGGGGGAGGGGAGGGTTATCTGTCCACCCACCTCTATCTCGCTCATCCTATTAATATATAAGTCACTATCATGCCCCTTCTTTGTTGCCTTTTGTCCAAATTAGGGAAGGTGCACTAATAGCTTTATTCCCCCCCCCCTTTTCATGCCAATGAATTTTTGGAGAAGGGTGGGCAGAACTTTGCACTGTATCCCAAAAGCAGCTATGCTACTGATTTAAATAAGAGAATGTTGATACCGGCCATTTTACTTCCACTTCCATTCCAAACAATCTGAACACTGAACTTGCTAGGTGCGCTCTCTCTAATCTATGTGTGTTTCTGTCCCTTTCTCTGACCCTATCCTAGGCAAACAAAATTGTATCTGTCTAGGTCACAGCACCTACTTATCGTTGAAAATCTGCTCAGTCTCCAAGTTAGCAAACACATGAAAGCAAGCACATATGAAAGGATGGTATTCCCTATGATAGCTGCAGTGCTTACTTCTGAGTAAACATGTTTAGGCTAACCTTGTAGGGGAGATTCATAATTCTGAGCGCCCCCCCCCCCATCAAGACATTCATTCCTGATTACCAGAGGAAATTAAAACGAACTAAAAAAACTGCAGGGCAATAATCACACACACACACACACACACACACACACACACACACCACCGCGATATTTGTGAACATGATCTTTAGAGCGTGCCGGCTAGGAGAGATCTCCGAGATCTAGTGATTCTGTCACAACTCGTTCAAGGCTGCCTGCAAGCCTAAGGAAGCTATAAAGTTTAGAGCGTAAACCTCGTTCATTAAACTCGTTGGGTTTTACTTCAGAGAAAGCACGCTTAGTATCGTGCATCACTTCTACGACACCATAAATCCGGCAGCGGGAACCTGTGGCTCTCCAGGCGTTGTTCAACTAGTACAACTCTGACCATTGGCCATGCTGCCTGGAGTTTGGAAGTCCAACAACACCTGGCGGACCATAACCCACCCACCCCCGCCATTAACAATGTAGTTACACGAGTCTTAAAAGGGCCACAACATCCCACCACAATTAGCTGTATGCCCCCTTTATGTTCCGGGGTTGGGGTCAGAGTTCCACCGACAGGGATTCAATGAAAGATTTGTCTTACCCAACTTCGTTCCTCGCTCGTCCCCAAACACGCAACAAGGAGCATTCACACGATCGTCTGCTCCTGACATTCACACCAGGACAAAAAGAAAAAGAAAGAAGAAAAGCCTTTATTAATGTGTCTCCCTGCCGGCGCGCCGAAGGAAGAACTTGGGCCAAGCCCCTGTCCTTTCTTGGTGGGATTTCGGCGTGCTTGGATGAAGGGGCGGGTTCACCTCCTCCTCCGCTTCGCACCTTTGTGGGAGCGGCGAAGGGGCCGCGCCTAGAGGAGGAACGCGAACGCGCACGCTGCCCCCTTAAACGGGAGGCTGGACTCGGCAATCTCCGCTGTGGGGCTGGCCGGAGCTGCCCGTCGGTGACACGCGTTCCCGGTGGGCGGAGTTGGCTCTCCCGCGCCCTGCCCTGGATGTGGGAAAGGGAGCAGCCCAGGCGCGCTCTCTTCGCCTCCTTCTCGGTGGAGTCGAGCAGCATGGATGCGGGCTCCGGCCCCATCAGCCCAGTCTCCCATCTCCAGGAAGGCCCTTTCAGCTGCCCCATCTGCCTCGACGCCCTCAAGGACCCGGTCACCACCCCTTGCGGCCACAACTTCTGCCTGAGCTGCCTCGGCGCGCACAGGCACCACCCGGGGGCGGGAAGCGGCGCGCCAAGCAGCTCCCGCTGCCCGCTCTGCCAGGAGCCTTTCCCGGCCGACCTCCAGCTCCGGAAGAACCACACCCTGGCCGAGCTGCTGCAGCTCCGGCAACCCGCCCCGAGCAGCCCGGGGCTGGCCATGGCCCCCGACAAGCCGCCGGAGCCGTGCGTGCCCGGCGACTCTTGCGCGCCGTCGGAGGACGCGCCGCCCGACGAGGTGCTGTGCGACTTCTGCACCGACGGCGAGCGCGCCCGGGCGGCGCAGTCGTGCCTGGTGTGCCTGGCGTCCTTCTGCTCGCCGCACCTGCAGCCTCATCTCAAAAGCCCCGCTTTCCAAGGCCACCGGCTGGTGCCGCCCTTGCGGCACATCGAGGAAAGCCTCTGCAAGCTGCACCTCAAGCCCCTGGAGAGCTTCTGCCGGACGGACCGGAGCTGCATCTGCCAGCTGTGCAGGGCCCAAGAGCACCGGGGCCATGAAGTGGTGGCGGTGGAGGTGGAGCGGGAGCACGTGGAGGTGGGTAGCACGCTCGTCCGGCCGTCCAGGCACAAAGGGGGTCCTTTGTGCAGCCTCGCTCCAGGGACGGGGAAGGCGGGGACGCTCCCCTACCCGAGGCTGCAGTGCGCGGGGATTCCTGCAAGCTTCGCTCACCAGTTCCAGCCCGGGAATAACTGGAAGAGGGGAGGGTGGGTGGGTGTGGGCCACTGCTGCTGTTCCTCGACGTGTTAAATTTAGGAGCCTCGCTAGGGACGGGTTGGGAGAAGCCGCCTGAGGCCGCTGCAAAGTGGCTGGCTAGCAGGTCCCTCTTGGATGGGACAGCATAAATAAAAAATTGTCCAGGAGCACCTTAGAGAAGTGTGTATCTGAAGAAGTGTGCATGCACACGAAAGCTTATGCCCAGAATAAACTTAATTTGTCTCTAAGGTGCTCCTGGACATTTTTTTATTTATTTCGACTTCGTCAGACCAACACGGCTACCTACCTGAATCTAGAAGGATGGGACAGCAGTTTGTCAGGTGCCCCAAGTTATCTGAAAAACAGGCACCCTATTTCCTAAGAGTTGGCACAAGGGTCTGTGTCTGCTCAGAAACACATTCCTGGAACTTACTTTCTTTGAAGGAGTGTGAGCTTGTTGAAAGGCCCTTCCCTGTAAGCGTTCAGATTTTGAAGCAGTGTGTAGTTTCTCTCTGGGGTTAGGAAGGCAGAGCAGTGCTGTCAGTGCAGGACTTGGGGGCAATGGTTTAGGGTCCAACTCAACAGAGTAAGTAGGAGATCCCCACCACCACCAAACACAAAAGGGCTGCCTTACTACAATTTGAAGTAAGTTAAATAAGACACACAACTGTCTGCAAAGGAGATACATTAACAGTAGAGTGGGAGAGCATGTTAGAGTGTTGGATATGGGAGACCAGGGTTCAGATCCTCACTCAGCCAGGACGCACACTCAGTGACCTGCTTGGACCAGTCACTGCCTCTCAGGGTGCCGTAGCTTTGTGGAAGTGTGCAAACATTGTAGGCAGGGGCTTAACCCTTGGCATCTCCAAGGAAAAGAATAACAAGTAGCTCAGCTGAGGAACAACTCCTGCCCTGAGATGCTGAGCAGCTGGTGCCAGTAGACAGCACTGGGTCAGATGGACCAGAAGACTGACTCAGTAGAAGGCAGCTAAGCTGGCCCTACCATTAGGCTGAGTGGGGCAGCTGCCTGGGGCAGCTGATTTTTGTCAACATATTGTTACATTTGAGGTTATTATTGCTGCTATTGTATTTCTACTTGTGGGAGTTCTTGCCTCAGGTGCCAAAATAATGTGGCCAGCTCTTGGTTACTACTTATCTTGTGACTCTGGGAGAGGGAGGGTTCTCCCATGGGCAGCAGAACATCTCTGGGCAGCCATATAATCTTATGTTCGTATGAGTGGAACGGCAGAGGCTATGGAACAATATTAAGGCTTATTGGGAAATTGGTTCAGAAAGGGAAAGAGCAGGGCGAGATGCGCTGGAAAAGTTATCTGTAGAGCTAGCTTGGCAGGAGAACGGAGCAATCCTTGTGGAGGAGGAGGAGACCTGGGTTGAAGTGGCACAGCCCTATCTGGGGAATCCTTGGAATGGCATTGCTCAGGAATCTGTAATTGTGTTTTAGGATGGTTTCAGGTATACATGACATGTTTTAAGCTCAGGTTTCTGACTTCATTATGTCTCCCCTGGCATGGCTGTAAGTGCAAGAAGCATTGGAACAAATTTTTGCGCAGTGAATCCCAAAGTGATGGCAACTTGGACAGGAAGCTTTTAGGTTGTAGCAGTCAAGACAGAGTTGGAAGGCTGATGACTTGATCAGATGTTGGCTGTGCAGACAGAGAACACTGCAAATGAACAGGGTGGAGTGCAGCATACTGTGGTGTTAGCCCTGATCCAAAGTTGGTAGCTGGACACCTCTGCCAGTATAATGATTGATAGGGGAGCTATGCTTTAGGGCAGGGATGGGGAACCTGTGACATTCCAGAAGTCATTCAGACTCCCATCATTCCTGAGCACTGGCCATGCTCACTGTGGTCGATGGGAGTTGGAGTCAAACAACATCTGGTGGACCACAGATTCCCCAAACCCGTTAGAGGGTGACAGAGCTAGCTTTGTTCTTCCTAACTGCGGCCATGCTGATAAATGAACTGGTTTGATTGACTAGACCAGTTTTTGATCTAGTCAATTTTTCCAACAGAAACTTTGCACTTTAAAAGTTTGGAAAGGCGTTTGCGACTGCAATCCTTCACATTGAGGAAGGGAAACCTTTTTCAGTCAAAGGTGATGCAATGCCTTTTGGACATCCTTGGGGGGGGGCAGAGGCAAAATAAGCATAGCAGTAAATGGGAACTTTGCATGCTGCCACATTCCCCCTGTTCTTTGTCTAGGCAAGCACAAATCAGAATCTGAGTTAGAGGAATTGTCTTCCATCCAGGCAAAAACACTTCAGGAGAGTGCAAAGCTGTCAGTGGGGTGTGTGTCTCAGGAGGGGGAGATAGGGCCAGATAGAAAGGACAACATATGAGCCCCCAGCCTGAGGTTCTCCATCATTGTTACCTGGAAGGAGTCCCATTGAATTCAATTGCACTTACTTTGCTTCAGGCATAAATAGAATTGCATTGTAAGAGTGCATATGTAAATGTGCTGCACCTGCTTCAAAACCGATTCATAATGGAAAGGGGACTAACCAACATAGCAACCATCCGACAGCATCTAGGACAGTCGCATCCATTGCCACACTTCTGATTGTGCACCTGGGAGTTCTGTAATTTTCCATGGAGCTGCAAGTCCCCAAATGCTGATATGTCATGTGAGGTACATGCATGTGTGAACTCAGCTCCTCTGAAGCTATGCAGTATTCTGCAACTAGTCTTTTGGGGCTTGTGGGGATGGGCTGTGCCAAGAGCTACCAAGAAAGACAGGTGAAATCTGTGTGCAGCCAGGACCCAGAGAGGAGAGCATTGGGAAGGGATTTGGGGAGCTGGCTGTTGTCATGGTTAAGTGCTTAGAGCCCGAGAATATAGAAGGGGTTGTGAGGTAGGGATTGTAGATAATTGATCAGGGAAGAACATTTCCTATTAAAATTGCAATGTTCTGAAATTCCTAGACCATAGAGGTTTTTATTTAATTGGGCTGCTGTGCTAATCCCAGTTATTTGGGAGTAAGCCACATTGAGTTCAGTAGGGCTTACTTCAGAGTCGATGTAGTTAGGAGCACAGCCTTAGAGTTGTCTAGAGGTCTGGAAGAAGGTGTCTGGATTTCTGTTTTTATGGGTGGGGTACAGTCACACACCCACACCCACATCTCTGCTTCTGGTGCTGTTCTGTGCTCAGCCAACGCCTAGAGAGCTTTCCAGTGAAAGCGGGTGGGGTAGGGGGCCTGTGTTTCCCAAACCCTCAATGAGATGTTCCTAATCAAAGACAAACATTTAGCTGAACTTCAGCCTGGCCTGCCAGATTACACACATGCAAACAATTTGTTGCTTTTGGGTTTGGGGAGGAGGCTAAAACAAAAGTTGCGTGGGAGGAGGGTGTGATTAATTCTGTGTGCCTGTTAACTGGGCCCAACCAGTTTCTGTTCTGACAGCCTTTGGCTGCTGTGCAGTTGCACCAGGGACTCATTTCTTCCTCTTGCCTCTCTTTCCCACAGTGGCTCAGACCGGCTTCTTTATTTCACTTGGCTCGTCTCCCAGGTTCCGCTCCTTGCTCCGTTAGCCCTTTGTGTTGCGTTGAGACGGGGCATTTTTTCCATCGCTCCCCTTCCCAGTTGACGCTGACTCATCTCCTAGATTTTCACTTGCTAGTTTTTAATTGAGCTGTCAGTTTCGGTTTAGCTCATCCTAAAGCACCGGGTTAGTTGGGAAACCCCATCTCTGTGTTCTCTTTGGGAGAGATGGCTAAACTTGGAAAGGTTTGCTGCAAGCAGTACTTTACAACTCCCTAAAACAACTTCGTTTCAAGGTTATTATTCTTAAGTGGAGCATTTAAGGGCGGAGGACACTTCCGCAAATGGGAATCCTCAAGGGACCACACAGTGGAGGCAAGTTCCCATTGCATCGTGACGCCATTGTTTCTCTAGTCACAAGGCCAATTGAGATGCCCCGAACCTAGTGATGTGAGGGAAGAATATTCTCCAAAAGATTATTCTCAAGAATTTAACATCACTACTCATACCCCGAGGGATGTGGGTGGCACTGTGGGTTAAACCACAGAGCCTAGGGCTTGCCGATCAGAAGGTCGGCTGTTCGAATCCCCGCAACGGGGTGAGCTCCCATTGCTCGGGCCCTGCTCCTGCCAACCTAGCAGTTCAAAAGCACATCAAATGTACAGCTCCAGCGGGAAGGTAAGCAGTGTTTCCGTGCGCTGCTCCGGTTCACCAGAAGCGGCTTAGTCATGCTGGCCACATCACCCAGAAGTTGTACACCGGCTCCCTCGGCCAATATAGCAAGATGAGCGCCACAACCCCAGAGTCGTCCTAACAGTCAGGGGTCCCTTTAGCTTTACTCATACCCCAGGATGCCCAGGAAAATATTTTCCTCAGTGTTCACACTACTCTTGCGACCCATTACATTAAGCTGGAGATTGGGAACCTTTGCCCCTCGTGTTCTTGGACTCCCAACCCCCACCAGCCACAGCCAGAAATGATGAGAGTTGTAGTCCAGTAGCATTTGGAGGTCTATGTCTTCCTGATCTCTGAAGGCAGTACATAAAAAGTTAGACAAAGCACTGGCTGTTGTTAACATGCTTTAAGCCAGCTGTTGGGAGCCTCAGGCCTGGAGGTTGAATGGGGCCCCTCAAACCTCTTTGTCTGGCCCTCAGGACTCTCTTCAAGCCACAGCCCCTCCCTGTTCAGCCTGGCTGGCATGGGTCCTTGAACTCTGATAATGCCTCTTGCTTGCCTGGATTGAGGAGCAGAAGAGAAAGAGGTGTACAAAGCTAAAATTCATATTTATTGCTCTTCCTACTTTGGCATCTGACAAGGCTTACCATCAGCATGTGACCCCTGAAAGGTCGCCCAGAGGGGAGATGTAGCCCTCTGGGTGTAATGCCCTGTAATGTACCAGAACTGATGCTATGATCACACCCGAAAAGGCCTTCTTGGAGAATGTTGCTTTCTGTTCATTAGTGTGGGAAGGACTCTGATACTGTAGTCTGTTCCAGTACCTCTGGCATGTAGCATAAGCTCCACAAAAGGGATTGAAGCTACAGCAGCCACAGGCAGGACAGCTGTGGCTTTCAAAGTATAGGTGCAAACTCCCTAAATGGGCACCAGGTGTTCACTTTTAGAACATGGATGGGGAAGCAGTGGCTGTTCATTGTACTACAGCTCCCATCATCCCTGACCACTGGGCATGCTGGCTAGGGGTTGGTGGGAGTTGGAATCTCACAGCAGCTGGAGGAGCACCACTTCCACATTGCTGTCGTAGAGGCACAGAAGTGGGGTGTACAGCAGCAAGAATACTTATCGCAAAGTATTGGAAGACAGAAGAACTACCCACCGTGGAAGAATGGCAGATGAAAGTTATAGACTATATGAGACTGGCAGAGATGACCGGCAGAATCCGAGACCAGGGGAAAGAGACGGCGGAAGAAGATTGGAAGAAATTTAAAGATTATCTTAAGAAATATTGTAAAATTGCTGAATGTTAAGACGATGTTGATTCTGAAATTAAGGGGTTGCTAGCTGTAATTATCATGTAAATATGAAAAGAAAGCTTAAAAATTTAATAGAAATTAAGGAAAGGATTTGTTGAAGAGAATTAATTAGAGAATGGAATGCAGTAAGGAGAGGCATGAGGAGGTCGGGAAAGTAATTCTCATGAACATAAGGGAATGAAGTTAGCATCAGAATGGGGTGTACAGTGGTACCCTCGGGTTAAGAACTTAATTCGTTCTGGAGGTCCGTTCTTAACCTGAAACTGTTCTTAACCTGAGGTACCACTTTAACTAATGGGGCCTCCTGCTGCTGCCACTGCACAATTTCTGTTCTCATCCTGAAGCAAAGTTCGTAACCCGAGGTACTATTTCTGGGTAGCGGAGTCTGTAACCTAAAGCGTCTGTAAACCCGAGGTACCACTGTATAGGGACAGTCTCTAAAGCATATATCACGTCATGGGAAGGAGCCTCATAGCATGGTAACAATGGAGGAATAAAGTTAATCAGGACAGAGTTTATTGAAGGGTTGAAAAGGCCATCTGGTATATTGAGCAAAACATTTTAGAAATGGTCCCAGTGGCAGATGGGACCTATTGGGAGCCCAGCAGTAGATAGAGCCAATGATTGGCAGAGCCAACTAAGTCTAGATTTGTCCCCATCCTCTTCCCTGCTGAGGTGGACAAGGGCAACACTGTGAGACCAAGGAGGAGGAAGCTGGCAAGTCGTGCTGCTCCCTGAACTGGCTGTAAGTAAGAAGGATGCAGGCAGATGGGCCTGGCAGAGAGCAGGCTGAGGGTGGTGGGCAGTTCTCCATTCCCCTAATGGACCAAGCTTCCACTGGACAGTCCCATAGTTCAGTGGGGGGAGCACCCTCTTTACGTACAAAAGGTCTCTGGTTCAGTCTTCGGCAGTATTTCCAGCTGAAAGGCATTCCCGGGTAGCAGGGCCAGGAAAAACTTTGGCACAAGTTCCCAGAGAACGGCTGCCAATCAGGATAGCCACTACTAGGCTTGAAGGACCAATTGTCTGGAGCTGGTATGAAGTCAGAATTCCAGGCAGTGAAGTTCTCTCCTGCTGCCAGACAACCATAAATTGACCCCAGTTCTGTTATGGAGCCAGAGCAAGTCTGTAGCTGATGAACAGAAGGGAACCCGTCTGTTAATTACCTCCCCCTTCGCCCGGAATAAAATGTTATCTCTCCTGGTGGAAGGGAAGAGGCAGAGACTTTCCTGTGTGGCAAAAATAGATAGGGTTTGGCTTGCTGTCAAGGATTGCCATGCCTCGGATGGCTTAAGCAAGTTTTATTTATTTTCATGGTGGCGCACCTGAAAAAAAATAATTCCTTGCATGTGTGAGCACATGCACATGTATGTTAGTCAGAACGCACTTAATCATTCTTATTGCTGCATTTATATTCCACCTCGAGGAAGGGTATCTTGTTCTTCCCGCCCCCGCCTCTGTTTTATCTTCGTGAGAAAAGTAGGTTAGGCAGTTAGTTTAGGGGCTGAGAGGGGATTTGAACCCTGGTCCTTTAACAGCACCCTAATTAGTACACAGCACAGACAGATTGGTGCTGGGTATGCCCCAAACGAAATTACAATTTTTACCTTATTGTCCAGTGTCAAATCAAATTGATTGTGGCTATTGATGCTAGTTCCGCTTTAATTTATGTTCTGTATGTTTATATAAAATAGCACATACGACTAAGGAACAAGTATTCCCTGCTTTTGGAAAAGAAGCAGCTTTTATGACCGGAAAAAATAATGCCATTTTTTTGTTAAATCATCTTGGCTACATCTCAGTTAAATCCCTTTCCTTCCCTCTCCCTGGGTCTGCTTAAAGAGATCAATGGGTTATTATGGCTTCACCAGATAAGCCCTCTCCGTGGCACTTTAATTTCCTTGCTTTCTGGTCCGGGTGAGGGTGTTGATGCAATTTGGGCTGTGGCTGTTGCTTTCTGTGATAGAGCTACGATTGTTCCTTTCATTGGAACCCTCTCAGTCTGGTCTTTATCTCACTCCAGCACATTGTTTAAATGGAGTTTGGAGCCACATGACAGTAGCACTTTGCTCTTTTTAGCTTTCCAGAATTGGGCACGTTTCCAGTCAAAATTCAAATGTCAGACAGTTGGGAAGACCGCTTCCTTTACAGGTCTTTAAAAGTAGACAAAAGACTGTTGCTTTTGCAAAAAAACAAAACAAAAACCAGACACACTGACATAATATATTACAATAACGTTTCGAAACACAGACTAACTCATGTTCGGGGTCAACATTTGATAGATCATCAGGGGAATGGTTTGTTTCAGTTTAGATTACTTTGGCCTCATTCACACATAACACTAAGCCATGGTTTAATCAAAAACATTATTAGCATTGTGTGAGAGACCTGCCTAGCCATTTAACTGTTATTTGTTCACTGACAACAAACTGTGTTTTATTGTTGACTTATGGACCTTTGCTTTACTCAGTGTTTTTTTTTAAAATAAAAACCAAGGTGCTGGTACTCATATCTTGATAAAAGTGCCATTGGTGCCAGCACAAAATGGCTGCCATGAGCCACAAAAAATATGTAACAGTATTCAGTACCTGTGAGTACTATCACACACACACACAAAAGCACTGGTTTGGCTATGGCTTGGTGTGTAGTATGTGAACCCAGCACCCTTCTTCAATCATGGCTTGTTTGGTTACTCCACCCTGGATGTTTACCAGGTTACAAAGGCATGAGAAAAGAAGAGCTGGAAAACAAAACTAATCATCATCATCCTCTCCTTGACATCTGATGGGAGGGCGTTCCACAGGGCGGGTGCCACTACCGAGAAGGCCCTCTGCCTGGTTCCCTGTAACCTCACTTCTCGCAGTGAGGTAATCACCAGAAGGCCCTCGGTGCTGGACCTCAGTGTCTGGGCTGAATGATGGGGGTGGAGATGCTCCTTCAGGTATACAAGGCCGAGGCCATTTAGGGCTTTAAAGGAGAAATGTTGGAGAAATAAGCTGTGGTGTGTTTAATCATCCTGGTTAACTCATGGTTTGTTGAACAAACCATGGCTTAGATTTATGGGCTAGCGGAGCCTTTGTCAAGAACAAATATATAATAGGCAGGAGAGACAATAAGGGCAATACGTTATGCAGAATGAATGGATAGGAGGGAATATAAGGGTTTTGGGGAGCAAGAGCAATCCGGCACAGTGCAAAGGGAAGTCTCATCACTACCACCTTCAAAGAACTTTTTTTAAAAAATCTTTAGAGTGGTGGTGGCTCTCCAAATGTTGCTGGACTCCCAACTTTCATCAGGCACAGCTATCTTGGCCAGGACTTATGGGAATTGGGAGTCCAACAAAATCTGGAGGGCTACAGTTCCCCATTCTTGCTTTTCAGAAATAGATTTAACGGTGAATATTTCTCTACAGCCATGAGGACTGGAAGAGAAATGTACTATTTTCTGTCAATGTGAGGTGACATTCTGATATTCCCTTTCTTCAAAAGGCCCAAAGACCCAAAATCCTGAACAGCGTCGAGAATCAGTTGGATGAACTTGGAGTCACTATTGCGCAGACAAGGAGGACTGTGGACCTCATCAAAGTAAGATGGCTTCAGTCTATTTCATCCCAGAAGAAAAACTGGATGTTGATCACACACACACACACACACTGTGCCCTGCTCTTTTCATATATTTCTATGTCATTGTCTCCTGGTGCCAAGGGGGTCAGGGGTTTGGACTGTCTCTCGGCCTGGGTATCAAGAGGTGGTTCGTCCACTGATTCTGATCCAATTCTGCCACAGTGTTGGGAGGTTTAATTAAAGATAACACGTAAGCAAAGAACAAAAATCCTCTTGCATGTATGCACTCATGTTGCACAAATATACAAGTTTCCTGAGAACTGGATCACATGGTACTTTTCCTAGACTGTACCACTTCAAACTGCAGATGGAGGATCACATTTTTCAACTTTCCCTCAGACTGGGGGAAACTCCATGCCTATAAGAAAGTAGCATGTCCAAGGTAGCCATTTCCATGACATGCTACATTTCCACTTGCATAGACACCCTAATTTCTGGCACTCAGATAAAAGACAGAAAAGCATATAGTGGCTTAGTGAATTAGGCAGCAATGGGAAACCTTTTTCCTAAAGTTTGTTTCTTTACACGTTGTGGTCCTGACAAAAACTGGAGGGCTTTAAAATGGAATAATCCAGACTGTTTCCTAATGTCGAGTTCAAGCATCATGCCTAGTCTGGCTTAAAGTGGGTCTTTTTAAACAATCAGATCTTGAAGAAGATTTGATTGCTTCTGCCCTCCCCCACCTGGCCAATTTTAACAGGAGGATCTGGATGTGTGCATGTTTTTTGGGGTGGTGGTGGAGGAAATATATGTAATCTACATGAATGATAATTGGTATAAAGCTTTCTCTGTTGTGTTTAGGGCACTGCTCAGAAAGAGAAGGAAAAGGTCAGCAAACTCTTTGCCGAGACGGCCAGGGTCCTTGCAGCCTTTCAGAAGGAAGTCCTTGGCTTCATCGAAGATGGGGAAAGAGCAATGCTGACTGGGGCAGCGGAGGAGCTGCGGCAGAAGGAAGAGAGGCGTGACACACTGACTGAACACAAGCGGAATCTGGAGAAGGTTCCCAGCACAGACACCATCTCTTTCCTGCAGGTCTGTGCCCCTGAGTGTTATTCCAGTAGAGAGTCACCCCTAAAAGCGCTTCATTCCTTGCCTCTGGGCAGATCCACACCATACATTGAAAGCACATCTAACATACATCGGAAGCACATGACTTTCCACAAATGAATCCTGGGAACTGTAGTTTCCTCTCACAGAACTACAGTTCCCAATGCCCTGAACAAACTACAATTTTATTTCTTCTTATTTCTTGAAATTTATATACCGCCCTATACCCGGACATCTCACAGAACAAAACCAGATACACAAAACCACAAAATATATACAGTGGTACCTTGGGTTACAGACACTTCAGGTTACAGACGCTTCAGGTTACAGACTCCGCTAACCCAGAAATAGTACCTCAGGTTAAGAACTTTGCTTCAGGATGAGAACAGAAATTGTGCGGCGGCAGCGGGAGGCCCCATTAGCTAAAGTGGTACCTCAGGTTAAGAACAGTTTCAGGTTAAGAATGGACCTCCAGAATGAATTAAGTTCTAAGCCCGAGGTACCACAGTAATCAAAATAAAAACAATAACCTACCCACCAAAAAACCCACCTTTTAAAGGGGCATAGGATGTAAATTGGATCAACCGAAGGCCTGGTTAAAAAGGAACGTTTTGCCTGGCACCTAAAGGTGTATAGTGAAGGCGCCAGGTGAACTTCCCTGAGGAGAGCATTCCACCGACAGGGAGCCACTGCAGAGGGCCCTTTCTTGTGTTGCCATCCTCCGGACCTCTCGAGGAGGAGGCACACGAAGGAGGGCCTCAGAAGATGATCTCAGGGTGTGGGTAGGTTCATATGGAAAGAGGCGGTCCTTGAGGTACTGCGGTCCTGAGCCGTTTAATGCTTTATAGGTCAGAACCAGCACTTTGAATTGGTAGCGAGTGCAGTTGGACCAGGATTATTTTACAGAAAGTAATGTGCTTTCAATGTATGGTATGGATTTCCCCTCTCTGGAAACAGTAGAAAAGGGGAGGATTTGTGGAGACGTGCTGTCCTCTCCAGCGAGCCGCAAGTGGAGAGTCTGATTCAGCTTGTCCATAGTTTTTTTTATGGGCAGATGCTGCTGCTTTTTCTGGCTCCAGACTGGTGGTTTTTGTATTGGAAGGTGGGCATGCTTATACGCTACAGGGGCAGGAAGGTAGAAGAAGAAGAAGAATTTTTTTTTATACCCCGCCCATCTGGCTGGGCCTCCCCAGCCACATTGGGTGGCTTCCAACCAAATATTAAAATAAAGTAATGCATCAAACATTAAAAGCTTCCCTAAACAGGTAGGAAGGGACGCGGGTGGCGCTGTGGGTAAAAGCCTCAGTGCCTAGGGCTTGCCGATCGAAAGGTCGGCGGTTCGAATCCCCGCGGCGGGGTGCGCTCCCGTTGCTCGGTCCCAGCGCCTGCCAACCTAGCAGTTCGAAAGCACTCCCGGGTGCAAGTAGATAAATAGGGACCGCTTACTAGCGGGAAGGTAAACGGCGTTTCCGTGTGCGGCTCTGGCTCGCCAGAGCAGCGATGTCACGCTGGCCACATGACCCGGAAGTGTCTCCGGACAGCGCTGGCCCCCGGCCTCTTGAGTGAGATGGGCGCACAACCCTAGAGTCTGTCAAGACTGGCCCGTACGGGCAGGGGTACCTTTAAACAGGTAGGACACAATGGGCATTTGTCTCTTTTACCAGGCCCCGCAATTTGTAGGCCCTTCATTCATTTACAATAGCCTTCCCCAATCTGATGCCTTTCAGATGTTGTTGGACAATAACTCACATCATCCATGACCATTAGCCCTCCTTGCTGGGGCTGGTGGGAGCGGTAGTCCAGCAACGTCTGGTGGGCACCAGGTTGAAGAAGGCTAGTATGCAATCTCAAGTGCTCAGTCCTATCTGGATCTCTGCTGGGAAATGTGCCCTCATCCGCTGTGTAGGGGCCCTGGGTAAACAGACCTTATAGGGAGGAGGCTCTGCTGAGCTCTATGTTCCTGGATCCACATTTGGAACAGAGCAGCATGCCAACATCTCCTGCCAGTGTAGCTGCTCTTTCTCTCTGCCCCCCCTCCCTCTGGTATGTTTGTTTCCATGTCACGAACAGCAGCCATAGGCTCTCTGGTACTCGGGAAAGAGGTGGCTCTGTGGAATGAGTCCTCCCATCAGTCAATTGCTGTATATCACCCCCTTTTCTTTCCTTTTTTTGGCCCAGGAGTTTCAAGCACTGAAAATAGCCACCGAAGAGAAAAACTTCTCATGGGCAAGCTTCCCCAAAGAGCTGAGCTTCATCAAATCCAGCCAGGCCGTGCTCGCTGTGAAGGAAATGCTAGTGAACATTTGCAAGAACCAGTGGGACCAGCTCTCAGGGAACGGAGACGAAGGGCCCATTCTTTATGGCATGCCAGAAGGTCTGTAGCAGACGGAATATCCTGTCCTTGCATTCCATGTAGAGCACTATGCATTCTGCAGTGTTTTGATTACGGAATTCTTTGCTGACTCTGATAGCTACCATGCGGTTTCTGCAGAGATTATTAGTGCCCGGCAAGTGCTAAGAATCCACTGCTTCCCTGTAGCTCTTAAGTATCTAGGAGCTCTGGAAGTCTCTGTGAACAGGGACTGGGCTTGGAAGTATCAGCAACAAGAATGCACATTGCTTCCTTTGCATCAAACATTAAAAGCTTCCCTAAACAGGGCTGCCTTCAGATGTCTTCTAAAAGTCTGGTAGTTGTTGTTCTCTTTGACATCTGGTGGGAAGGTGTTCCACAGGGTGGGTGCCACTACCGAGAAGGCCCTCTGCCTGGTTCCCTGTAACCTCACTTCTCACAGTGAGGGAACCACCAGAAGGCCCTCGGCGCTGGACCTCAGTGTCCAGGCAGAACGATGGGGCTGGAGACATGCCTTTTCCCAGTCTGTTCTCAAAGCTTGAAATGCAGCTGGGGTACCCAGCCTTATGCAAATTCAGGACACTTGCATCAGCTTCCATTCACATGTTGAATTTTGCTTGTAGACTTTTGCTACTTTTAACATGCAGTAAACACTTTGGGGCATTAGAACCCATTGGGCACCATTTACATCATGGAAGTGGGAACCTGCCGCTCTCCAGATGTTGGACTTTTATCGCCATCATCTCTGGCCATTGGCCATGGTGGTTGGAACCGATGGGGGCTGGAGTGCAGCATCATTTGGAGGGCCACAAGTTCCCCATCTCTGTTTGACATCTCCAAGTCTCCTCTTGATGTTGGCATTTGTACCTGCCTAAATGAATGTCAAATGCCAGCCTCAAAGGGAGAAGATGTTTCAAGCTACAGCCTCCATGTCAAAGCACTGCAAGTGGTGCAGCTGTTTTGAAATTGCATAATAACAAGACTCTCTTAAATTGGTGTCGGGTTTCTGCGCCCTGTGCCTCCCGCTTGGGGTTGTGTTTTTTTTATGAGGTTTCCATAAGGACTCAAATAAATCAGAAGGCAACAAACAGACATCACCGGGTGTGGCCAGCAGTGGTTTGGGGAAGATGTCCAAAGTGGCTTTTCCTTGAAACAGAGCCTTGTCTTTCAGAACACAGGGGAGATATATGCTTGAAGCTTACTCTCCTGCCAGAATTGGAGTGGATCTTGCTGGCTTCGTCCTCAAGTTCAACTGCTCCCTAAAGAAAGTATTGCAATGTGTGACTACTAGCCTAGCATCGGCTCTGTTCTGTTCAGGGCTTCCCCTCCCTCTCCCATACATGCCCCATGTTTCAGGGAGGAGTACTTCCTGGATACAGTGGTGCCTCGCAAGACGAAATTAATCCGTTCCACAAGTGTCTTCGTCTAGCGGTTTTTTCGTCTTGCGAAGCAACCCTATTAGCGGCTTAGTGGATTAGCGCTATTAGCAGTTTAGCGGCTATTAAAGGCTTATCAGCGGATTAGCTGCTAAAAGGCTATTAAAGGCTTAGCGGCTTAGATAAAGGGGGGGGGAGCGGAAAAAAATCTCAAGACTCGCAAGACTTTTTCGTCTTGCGAAGCAAGCCCATAGGGAAATTCGTCCTGCGAAGCAACTCAAAAACGGAAAACCCTTTCGTCTAGCGGGTTTTCCGTCTTGCAAGGCATTCGTCTTGCGGGGCACCACTGTACTTACCAGGGAGTTTGCATGAACTGCTACCAGGTCACAGCGTGCTGCCACTATCCCCACAAGACCCAGCCAGAGGTACAAACAAGACATCCATGAGAACAGTGGAACAGTCTCCCTCTGGAAGTTGTGGACTCTCCTTCCTTGGAGGTTTTTAAGCAGAGGTTGGGTAGCCATCTGCCATGGATGCTCTAGCTGAGATTCCTGCATTGCAGGGGCTTGGACTAGATGACCCTTGGATCCTTTCCAACTCTATGATAACTGGGCACCACCACACAGAGCCCTATGTGGTGATGGGGAGGCTGAAGGAAGGAGAGTAGAGAGGGAATCGGGGTTTGCAGACCCAGAAGAAAATGTTGTTGGGGTCCAGCAACTCTGTAAAATTTGTGTTTTTTGGATGAGCACAGGACCACAACACAGTTATGAGCAGATCCCTCTGCTGGCTGGCTTTGTAGTAGCACAAGGACATGTTAGAATCTTGGATCCTGGGATAACATCCCGTGGGATTTCCCTCTTCTGATTAATAGGTTTAAGAATCTAATCACAGCAGGCCTGTCAATGACAAATGAATTTAAGGTTCAAGGTGGTTGTATGGAATAGTACACCTGCATCTGATCAGCCAAGGTACTTTCTAATGAACAAGCCTCTTTTCCTTGTGTGATGGGTTGGTTTTTTTCTTTTCCTTTTTTGCTGTCTTTGTCGTTGAGGTAAATTTTTGACAATTTCCTCTCCTCACAGTGACCATTGAGCCCCCGATTCCAGAAAAAAGCAGCAACCCCGCCTGTTTGGAGTCCCGAGATTATTTTCTCAAATGTAAGACCATTTTATTGTATGTTTTGTCTCCCTTGGCTTTTGTTTCTTTGCTGATGGGGTAACGTTTGGCAGACGGCAGACGTGTTGCAGACAGCAGAAATGTCAGCCCACTCAAAGTTAATTATGAGCGCAGTCCAGTGAAAACAAAATGCTTGAGTGTTGTTTTTAGAAAAGGTTCAGTGTCTCAATTACTGGTCTTTACTGGCCTAGCTAGGTTTAGCTGAAAATACAGGGACTTAAGCACACGGGCAAAAGATTCCTGGATTGCAGGGGTTTGGACTAGATGACCCTTGTGGTCCCTTTCAACTTCATGATTCTATGATGCCTGTAAAGCTACACCACCCCCTTTTCCTGTCATAAAGAGGCACATATTGGAGGAGATGGAATACACATATTCGGTTCTATCACTGCATGAAAGAAAAAAAATAAGGCTGTGGCATAAAAAAGAGAGTTATGTTAAATATATATCATGAGGACTAGAAACTGGATTTTATTTTTATTTTTTAAAAGTAAATCTGGTGAACTGAACTACCAGTATTTAAAATGCATTTATATGGAGGAGGAAACCAGAAACCTTGAAAATATAGAAAACAGAAGGGGTCTCTGAAATCAGAGTGCGGTACATCTTTGCTCCTTGATTCCATAGCTCTGCCACTCTCTGCTTCTTAATGACTATTACTCTACATACCCCCATCTTCCCACCTGCTTTCCCTATTTCACCTTCCCAAAACACACACACATAAGGTGCGGGTAAATATTTTTATTTTTTAAAAACAACAACAACAACAACAACCAATCCAGCTAAAGTTTGCCATAGGGCTAAACTGCAGACACACAAGTGGTATGCACAAATTTAAATATAGTTAGGAAAAATCCAACAATTTTTGCAGAATATATGTTGATTGCAGCAATGGAGTTTTTCGAACACGTGGTTGTATCCAACACTGCTGTTCCACTCATGCAACAGCTTTCTGCTTGTGCAATGCAATTATGTTGTTGTTGTTGTTTATATACCAACCTATACCCGGAGGTCTCAGGGCGGTTCACAGAAAAGATCAACATAAAAACCACAATATATATAATCAAAATAACAACAAGAAATCAAGCACACACCCCCAAAAGAGCCACATTTTAAAAGAGCATAGGATGTCAATCAGATCAATCAAAGGCCTGGTTAAAAAGGAACATTTTTGCCTGGCACCTAAAGGTGTATAATGAAGGCGCCAGGCAAACTTCCCTGGGGAGAGCATTCTACAGATGGGGAGCCACTGCAGAGAAGGCCCGTTCTTGTTTTGCCACCCTCCTTTTCTCCTTTCCCCTGCACCCCCTACCATGATTGGGGGCCCTTTGGAGCATATTTTGGGGGGTGGGATGCAGAGAGAGGAAGGGGGAAGTTAGATCCTACCCAAGACTCCTAAGCCAAGGTTGCATAAGTTCAGGAGACTGAATGATTCCTGAGGGGCACCAACCTCAGTGATGGTATGTTTCAGTTTTGTTGTCCAAGAAGACAAGATAACTAATACTGTGTGACTTCCTTGCTCTGCCTTCTTCTCGCCTTCTCCCGCCCCCACCCTGCACAGTTGCCTTCATCATCGACTTGGACAGCGACACTGCCGACAAATTCCTCCAGCTGTTTGGGACCAAGGGAGCCAAGCGGGTGCTGAACCCTATCGCCTACCCCGAGAGCTCGACCAGGTTTGTCAACTGCGAGCAGGTGCTGGGCGAGAACTTAATGAACCGAGGCAACTACTACTGGGAAGTGGAGATCATTGACGGCTGGGTGAGCATTGGCGTCATCACGGAAGATTACAACCCGCAGGAGTCCTATGACAGGGGCCGCCTGGGCAGGAACGAGAACTCCTGCTGCCTGCAGTGGAACGGGCAGAACTACGTGGCCTGGTTCGGTGGCTTTGACTGCGTGATACAGCAGCCTTTCTTCCATACGATTGGGGTGTACTTGGAGTACTCTGAGAAGGTGCTGACCTTCTATGGAGTCAAGGATTCCAAGATGACGTGCCTGCAGCAGTTCAAAGTGGCGCGCTTCAAGAAGGGCCATTTCGACCCCTTCCAGAATAAGATCAACCACCAGTTTCCGGCGCTGTTTACGCACAACCTCAAGCCCGCCTTCTTCCTAGAAAGTGTTGATGCCCACATGCAGCTTGGGCCTCTCAAGAAAGATTGTGTTTCGGTGCTGAAGCGACGGTAACTCGTTCCATGTGCGGTAGAGCAAGAAAGGAATTGGTAAAGAGATTCAAAACGGGATCTTTCCTAGAACAGCATGTCACTTCCATGATACAGGGTTACTAGGCTCTTCACCCATATGTCTGTCCCTGCTACCTTTTGAGTCATTTGACTGGTGCCTTTAAAGATAATGGGCCATTTCCATGTTGGTCTTTTCTCTCTCTTGCCACCTCTTGGATTTTTAGTCATAGTTATAGTTTGTTCACACTGGGCTTAAACTCGAAGACCAAGCTTGTTACCTTTCACATGCTGTTTGGGGATTTGGAGAGGATTGATTCTAGTCTGAACTTTCATTTTCTGTATTAATCCAATATATTTACCACACACACGCAGTTTCCTGACTCTGTATTCATCAGTTCTAGGGCTTCTTCCTGCTCTCTTAGCCTGGGTGGTGGCGGCGGTGGGGAAAATATCAGTGTTACTTTAAGACAGGAGTCAAGAGCCTGGGATGTTGCTGGACTACAAGTCCCATTACCCCTAACTATTGGCCAGACTGACAGGGGTTGCTGGGATTTGGAGTTGCTGGAGAGCCATAGGCTCCCCACCTCTGGCCCAGCTTGTGAGGAGTTACAAATTTTTCTGTGGGCACTGAGCCAAATCTTAACTTCTGATTTAAACTGCTGTTCTTTAAGATGGGAGCTGGTGGTTGAGTTGAAACAGGGGACCTACTTTTCTTCTGTTTCTAGGATATCTTGATTTTAGTAGATAATTACAGTTCTTCATATAAATTGGGAAGGATGGAAAAATAAAACTTAGCTAGTTCAGAGACAGAACTGATTTTTTACCATTTGAAGATTATTATTATTTACCTCATGGATTCCCTGACAATAACTGAATTGCTGAAATGCTTGTGTGTTTTATTAGCCCTGTGGTCTCAGCATTACAGTTATTTTCTGCAAGAGTTTTCTTCCAGTTATTCAGTTTGTTGCCTATCTGCCAAGGGTGGATCTTTTACAAAATAAATGGCAACATACTAAACACAGGGTGAAAAATATTATGAATTTGGTGAAACATGATGGTTAATTGTATGAGTTCACTTATCCCTGCTGTCTGGGCTCATGCAGTTCTTCCTGCCTACCAGTAAGAAACGGTGAGGTCACCAAAGTTATTTTCTACTTCCCCCAATGGAAATAACTACAGCGCAATTGCTCACAATAGCAACACACACACACACACCATCATTGGTCAGCATTATTAAAAATATGTTTTGCCGTTTTCATCTTTCAGCCAGATACTAAATATGTTAGTCTGACTTGAGTTGAGCAAGTCTCTACTTCCTGGTAGATAAGCCTATAAATGCAGCCCTTACAGTTTCACCTGTTGCCATTGGAATTAGTTATTGAAAGAATACCACAATGATCATGTTGTGATTTCTGTATTCTTACTGTATTCTTAAAAACACTTTGGGGATAAACTGGAACATTAGGAAATTTCACACTGAACCAAAATTGGCTGTATTAATTGTTCCTCCATGAGCAAAATAATAAAGCCAGTATATTTGCTTCCTTAGGTAATACTGTGCTGCTGTTTGTTTTTCACCCCAATTCTTGGGTGGTGGTAACCTTTCTGCTTTGTTTTATTATTTTTATTAATAATACACAGTTGTATAATCTAACATGTGTGAGGAAATAATAAGGAAAAAAGTTTAAAAGAATCTAGTTGCCATTAAAGAATATGCAAACATAATCCTGGTTTGTCTTTCTTTGCTAACCTCAAATGAATGATCTTACTTTCTGCAATGTTTTCAATCAATACCAGTTTACTATGGGCAAATAATAACACTTTTGTGGATAGCAACAGCCAACTATACACCATAAAGTTTGCACACCCATGTGTTTGCATTTATTTTTAATAAAATGAGGGCTTTATTTATTTGACTCATGCAGCATGTACAGCCTCTTTGAAGAAAATAATCTGGATTAATTTTGTAAAAATGCCTTGCAGTTTTAAAGTTCTACCACAAAATATCATAGTAAGAGAGTCGTGATTACTGTAACATGTGGCACTACAAAATTTCCACTAAAGTCAAGCTTAGCTGGGACGTAACCCAACCAGAGTAATCCTCATTATCCACATTATATAGATTCCACCTTCCATGAAAAATGGGAATGGATACAGCCTCTGCAATATGATTGTTTTGCAGTAAAAATCTTCATGCTCCAGTTTCTCATTTGTTTTGACTGCTGCCTGTGATACTGGAATAATCTCACTGCAATAGCCAAGCAACTTCCCATAGCTACAGTGCTGATGGTGTAGCTGTTGATAATGCTACAAAGCAAGTTTTAGGATCAAGTTGTAAGGCAGTGAGCTTAACACAAACTGTCGCTGAAAGTAATGACCTCCCGTGACCTTCCTAGGACTCTGGGCGGGTTATCCTGGATTTTTTTTACATGACAATGCATTAAAGATAAGTATTAAAAAACAATAACAAGGTCAATAAAAGTGATAAGAGAAAAAAAAACAAATAAAAATGCAGTAGAGATGGTGTAAACACAATTAAAATAGCAGAATATACATATCCAGTTTGAGTGTCCTATTTTAAATTTATGATTTTGTAATAGTTAAGTCTTTATTAGGTTATAGGGTGCTACGGCTACAGTCCAATATGTATGATCCCAGCAAGTAAGTCCCATTGAACTTTTAAGCTGACACATAAAGGATTCTGCTGTAAAGGAGATGCATGTCTGGCCCAGGTTAAAGGGTTGTATTTGTGGTTGTGGGGAGGGCAAAGTAGTTTGGGGAGTATGGATTTAACTTTACAGTACTTCATTTTGCCCACCCACTTTCTGCCTAAGTGCTGAAGGTGGCAAACAGTTGAAAATGATAGCTTAGTGGCCCTCAGGACTTTATCCAGACCATGTTGCTCAGTGGTCCTTCTCCATACCCTCAACTGCTATTGCCTGGCTAAAACATGTCATTGAATTAGTATAATGCTGCTTGTTTGCCTGAATGGAGAGGTGTGCATGTGTGGTGGAGATAGAGGGTGGAACTCAACATTGACCAATGTTGAATGTTCTACCTGCACAAGCACATTCAGCTTGCTAGATGGCACAATCGTCCCCCCTCTATGTGTGCTGTTCTGGGGGTTTTCCCAACCATCCCCAGAACCAATTTTGCAGGGTGCCAACGGAGGAGAGGAAGGAAGCTCCATTGTGCAAGAATTTGTTATGTGAATCATGCACACAGAAACCTCTGGCTTTTGTATCGGTGGAATGTAACCTATTGTACGAGTCACATCCATTGCTCTGCCCACTTTTGCCCCTGTCTCCACTTACTTTTGCCTTGGACCCTGCCCACCCCTAGAGCCAGTGTGGTGTAGTGGTTAAGAGCAGTGGACTCGTAATCTGTTGAACCGGGTTCGATTCCCCGCTCCTCCACATGCAGCTGCTGGGTGACCTTGGGCCAGTCACACTTCTTTGAAGTCTCTCAGCCTCACTCACCTCACAGAGTGTTTGTTGTGCGGGAGGGAAGGGAAAGGAGATTGTTAGCCGCTTTGAGACTCCTTTGGGTAGTGATAAAGCGGGATATCAAATCCAAACTCCTCTTCTTCTAGCATGTGGCCCTTGAAGGATGCCAATGATTGAGTGCAGCCCATTGAGATGAAAAGTGCTTCCTTGTTATATGATGAAGATAATGAACTGGATGGGATGATCTCTGCAAAAGACAATACTGCTTCACTTCTGGGAAGACCCAGAGTGTAGTTGAGTCTACCCAGGCTGATGAAGGGGTTGGCCCTAACTGTTTCACCTCTCTGCTGCAGGCAGATGAAATGGCCAATGGGTGCAGTTTTGTAAGGGGAGGAGGACCCATAGACTGTGAGTCTGGGCCTGGCAGATGGTGAAAGCCTTGATGTCTCACCTCTCCCTATTAGGCTGCCACTTGGAAGAGCACTGGACTAAGAGAGTAGGAGCAGATGTCTACTATGTTTATTTGTTTCAGCATTTCCTGGTTCTTTAGCTAATGTTAAGTGCATGAGCCCAGCACATGAAGCCATGTGTAAACACAACATTGTAATCATTCCGAAACCAAGGGATTAAGACGGGCTAAAAAGCTACAGCTGTTGGTCTCTCATAATGACCAATCACAAATTTTATTTCTGCCAAACTGGCTAAAAATTAAAAATAATCCAGTTTCCATTCTGTTGCAACTCCAGTCTTCTCTCAAATAGGGCTTGCCAACTCTACCACAATTGCTAGTGAGGGATCAGTTGTGGATGTACATCCAGTTCTCGCTTAGAGCCTCTTAATTTGGACTAAAGCCCTGGAAAAATGAGTGTTTTAGCCATGTGACTGAGCCAGCCAGGAAACTTCTCTGTTAAAAAAAATGGCATGAAACCACAACAAACTAAAATAGTAGTAAAAATAGCTTATAAAACCACTAAAGTGCCAATATATATTTTTTAAAAAGGTTAAATACCTGCTGTGAATTGCAGCTGTTCTGTTTGGCAGAAACACCAGAAATCAAGTTACTTGATTCATATGACCACTGCTGCTTCCTGTTTATGTGGTCTTCATAGAATTAATACAGTTTATTATACACAGTGAGAAACAAACAAATATGGAGACAAGACAAATTTCAACAGAGTTCATTTGCTATAGCAAAACACGAAGAGGCAAGCCATGTGGCACTTTAAAGACTTACATTTTATTATGCCATAAGTTTTTGTAGCCCAGAACCCACTGTCCCTATCCAGTATAATTTAAGCTTTACATTAAAATGACACAGGATGATGGGAACTGAAGTCCAGCAACATCTTCAGTGCCACAGGTTGCCCATCCCTGATTAGGCAAAACAACTCAGGAGAACATTTCTGTTATTTGAGGGTTCTCCCCACCACCTCCATGGCAGGGCTCAAGTGGAGTACAAAGGACAAGAACTTCCAGTCTAACCTCTAGATCAGTGCTTCTCAAATGTGCCAGGGTCATATTTGGTCCTTGAAGCATCCCACCCAACCTGAGCTGTGAGTCACTGCAGACCAGCAGCTAATGGCTTGTGGACCAGCACCAATTGGTAGACCACCACCTTGACTAGCGACAGTGGCGTAGCGTGGGGGGTGCAGGGGGGGCCGGCCGCACCGGGCGCAACATCTGGGGTTAGGGCAAATCCACGGGTTAGGGGGCGCAAATCCACAGGTTAGGGGGCGCAAATCCACGGGTTAGGGGGCGCAAATTACTTGCCTTGCCCCGGGTGCTGACAACCCACGCTACGCCGCTGACTAGCGATGCTCTCGATGGCATTGAACTCCACTCCTATTAGCTTTAACTGATGCAGGTCACGAGTCCCATGAGGGCAACAAATGTCTCCCTCTCCCAGGGTTTCAGGTTTTACAACAATCTAGCATCAAACGCGGGTGGCGCTGTGGGTAAAAGCCTCAGCGCCTAGGGCTTGCCGATCGAAAGGTCGGCGGTTCAAATCCCCGCGGCGGGGTGCGCTCCCGTTGCTCGGTCCCAGCGCCTGCCAACCTAGCAGTTCGAAAGCACCCCCGGGTGCAAGTAGATAAATAGGGACCGCTTACTGGCGGGAAGGTAAACGGCGTTTCCGTGTGCTGCGCTGGCTCGCCAGATGCAGCTTTGTCACGCTGGCCACGTGACCCAGAAGTGTCTCCGGACAGCGCTGGCCCCCGGCCTCTTGAGTGAGATGGGCGCACAACCCTAGAGTCTGTCAAGACTGGCCCGTACGGGCAGGGGTACCTTTACCTTTACCTTTAGCATCAAACGAGCCATTTGCGCTGCACAGTTTGTAACTCCAACCATATCTGCAACAAGATTTCCCTTTTTTTCACAACCATGAGACCAGCATCAAGTCTTTTTTTATTCTTTTTTTAAAAAATATATTTTTATTAAAGATTTTCTTGGTTTACAAAAGTACATGCCTTCTCTCTCTCTCTCTCTCTCTCTCTCTCTTTGCGTAAGAAAGTTTTTTTTTTTTATTCTTATTCTCAAACGGCGGCAGCAGCATAGCTGTCAACTTTCGGATTTGAAAATAAGGGATCAGCAGCCTCATCTGTCCCGGAGACAGTCTACGGGATATCTAACAATCCGGGATAGCAGCGGGAAACGGCGCTGAAATAAGGGGATTTCCGGCAAAAAAAAGGGAAGGTTGACAGCTATGGGCAGCAGCGGCAGCAGCAGTCGCCCTTCTCTCTTCCCTAGAGACGGTCCAGCGCCGAACTACATTTCCCATCATGCTCCATTTCCTCCCGCCCTCTTCCGGTCTCTGCGTTGCCCGGAGCGCGGCTACGCCGGAAGCCGTGAGCAGAGCCTGCGCAGCGCTTTCTTCACAACATCGTTCTGCGGAGGCCGGCGGGAGCGTGTGCATCAGGGGGTCCCTCAGCTGCTTGGCGGCCATGGCGCTGAACAGGAACCATTCCGAGGGGGGCGGCGTCATTGTCAATAACAGCGAAAGGTGAGCGGGTGCGGCAGCTGTGTGTGTGTGTGGACGGCACTTGGCCGCTTCTGTTCCCTTACAACGTTGTGTGTGTGTGTGTGTGTGTGTATGTATATATATATATATATATATATATATATGTGTGTGTGTGTGTGTGTGTGTGTGTGTACCTCGGGTTACATACGTTTCAGGTTACATACGCTTCAGGTTACAGACTCCGCTAACCCAGAAATAGTACCTCGGGTTAAGAACTTTGCTTCAGGATGAGAACAGAAATCGCGGCGCGGCAGCAGCAGGAG